TCACCTACGTACAGTGCAACAGTGAAACCACTTTGACAAACTTACAGCACATGTGAAATAGTAAGTCGAGAAAATAAACATATCGTTTGGCAACAGAAAAATATTCAGGAAGGGCATAAGTGTGTACATTTTTGTTTGCCAAAGGAAACATGCCCTTTCTATGCTCATAGTTCACTTCCTGAGGAATTAGGGCAGACGTATGTCAATCTCCAAGTAGATGTTGGGAGACTAAATGGTTATATTTTCCCCGCTGCCCTTTTCTATGTCAAACTGTATGAGATAACGAAAAGACAGGAAAACATAATGATTAAGTTTCCCAACGTTTCCTTGAAGATTAGACGTTAGATGTATGTATCGCAAAAATGTGGTGCTATGTTTTGACTTGAAATTTTAAAAAATATGTACTTCTCATTTCAAAATTGGTTGATAAAAGTCGACCTTGACATGTATCAAACTTTTCGACAAAATATTACGAGATATCCGTATCCGTCAACAATGTATTTATGTTCCGGAATAGATCGATGTACACTTAATTAATCATATTAACGTAACTGTTACATGTTTGCAACTTTGCTCCAGTGATTTTATGACGTAGTTTTGTTGATTCATATATTTTATTAAAGCCAGTACTTCATAAATGTCAACATCAGTATAAACAGAAGCGTTATTAACTGCATATCAAATATTATCACAGCTATACGAAGTGTTATTGTGCGACAGCATATGGTGAATTCGGGTTATTCCATTTAAACGATTTGGGGGGGTTGTCTCAATCTTAATATATGTACTATTAGAGTGAGCACAAAGATATTGACAATAAGAAAAAGAAAGAAAATCCAAACAACGGGTTAGGATGTTGAAAAAAATCATATCCACCCCTCAATGTCTTAATGGAATATCCCGAGTTCACAAATATTTAATGTATGCATACTAAGTATGGATCTAACATTTGTTGTAGATTTATGTTATTTTGATTCGCCATTTAATATCATGTTTCTTGCACATGTTGTGTTGTACATGACTGAATTCCTCTGGGGCTTGGAGATGAAAATAAAACTCATATCCGGTGTATTGTTCAGTCACTGAAACTTGGCAAACACCACTCACATTAGCACGCCCTAGGCCACGTTGATTTGATTATATGGATGACATCCTCGCGCGCATGAATTTTCGGCCGTTTCCAAAAAAAAGTTTTCAACCATACTGTAAATCGTACAAAACAGTTGCAAAATGAGCAAATGTATACCGTGAGTTGAAACAAAAAACATTGGAAAACGATACCAGTGTCGTAGAATGCCAGAATTAAACGAAAAAGACGAAAATGTAAAGAAATGAATATCGTTGAAGAGGTTCATCAGTCACGTAGGATTAACAGTTAGTAGAAATTCTTCAATCAGTGACTGTATTGGAGAAATTGGAGGTACGTAATCTACCTTACAAAAATACAGTCACTGATTGAAGAATTTCTACTAACTGTAAAGAAATGAATTTGAAGACTAGATTATTCGCCAAACCATACTCTGTGTCATTTGTTCAACCTTCAAAACCATGTAGATTTCATAATGAAAGCACCTTTTTTTTATTCGCACGCTCGCATCAGTTTTGGGGTTCCTAGGGGATGTCATCCATATAATCAAATTAACATGGCCTAAGCACGCCTCAGGTGTACATTGTATATGTCAACTGTAAGCTTCACTTGTTGCCCTTAGAAGCAGCACACAGCAAAATCCACGTTGACGTCATTTTTCTCTCCGAGGAGATTTTTTTTGTCAAGACTTGGCCACTTGGGCTCTGTCTCCTACGTCAAGCCAGGTACCTTGGCACACAAAGCGATTTCATAGCCTGGTTACCAGACCAGAGTCTTATGTCCTCTATAGTACATACTCGGAAGCTAAAAGAGGTCTGGCAACCAGGCTAGCGATTTCAGGGTAGTAGAACTGGATTTTCAATTTTCTGGTCATTTTTAAGGGAATCAACTCTATCAAATAGCGAAGATATCCGCAAAGCAAAACTGGGATGTCACTGACAGAAAACGGTTGCTTGTTTCGTATCGTAGGCTGGTTCTGGCTATTTATTTGTGGTACAAAAGTTCAGGTACTTTTCTTGTAGCTTGTTTGGAGGATATTTCAAACGCTTCAAGCAATATGGTGACGAATGGGTGAAGAAATGGCAGTACATGTCAATATAAGACAGATTTCCTCGTCCAGGAATAATTTCTTTTTCCCTCCTGAAATTGCGTCGAATTTTTTTAACAAAGTACGTCATATCGTAATGATATTGTCTTGTGGTATGGATTATTCATGGTTGATCATTATGCTATGACGTTGGTGGAAATGAGGAGTCGCGTGATCTTCCTGCTCGTAATTGAATTGTAGCTACTGTTGTTCAGTTATTAATTCATTAAAGCAATAAATCATTTCGTCGAAAAGGGTAGCGTCCTTCTGATGAATGACTGAAGCAAAAAGGCATCCGATGTAATTTCAGGGCACCAAAAGAAAAATATTCTGGATGAGGAAATTTGTCTGATATTGACATTTACTGCCAGTTCTTTTGTCATCATTTCATACCTAAAGCATTTGAATTAGCCCCAAAACAAGCTACGCGAAACATCTCTTTATTTTTGGGTACCACCCGTAAATAGCTACGATACAAAACAAGCAACCTTTTTTTGTCAGGGACATCGCATTTTGCCTCACAGATATCAGTATTCTATGAAATAGGATTGATTCAATTTTCTCAAGTTAAAGAATGACCAGAAAACTGACTTTGAAAAGAGTTTTGGATTTCCCTAAAATTGCATTGGGTGCCTTTAACACTGTCAAGCATTTGGTAGTACAATGTACATGATCGTACCCTGGCAAGCATCTTTTTATTAGTTTCACCAAGGACATTATACTACAGGTCTGTATAATGGCCTTGGTTTCACTTGTACGCACACACAATATCCACACCCTGATGACCTCCGTAAATAATTTAATCAGGTTGGTGAATGATTGAATATACTTGTTCAACAAGTGGTTGTGAATAAAGAACTTTGCCATTCCGTACCCGTCTCCATATGTGGAACAGTCGTTTCTAAGCAGCACTTTTCAAAAGCCACAAAGTGGACGTGTGTGGACGAAGTCCGTTACAATAGCGCGCCAAGCAGACGTAGGGAGAATTAACCTGGTTGTACGTATACGCACTCTCGAAGCAGAGGTTGGTGGGGAAAATTTTGACCTTTTCTGTCGCTTCGCGGGGAATATGATAAAAAGGTCACAATCTTCCCTGCCAACCCCTGCTTGGAGTGTATTTGTACGTACGTGTTTCTAAAAGCAAACTACAGAAAGACTTGCCTTTACGTAAGTGGGCTAAAGATGTGGTTGACGTTGTTTTTCTTTGGCATATCTGTGTACGAGTATATACCAGTATACTATCCGAGATCTCTGTCCAGCTTAAAATCAACTATATTTTCATTTCTGCCCACTCCTAGTTCCCTAGACTCAAATTAAATTAGTCTACCTTATCTGGGTCAAACTGACGACACAAAACAACGTGCGTTGCTGTCCGCATCATTGCTTGCTTTATTCATGTTATGTGCGGAATAAGCAATTCAATGAGGGAAACGTTTCCCCAGTTGGCTTGACCCTCCCAACAACGTGCCCCACCACTGGGTCCCACTGTTTATACACAAATTATCCACAGGTCGACTTTTATTAGGTGCAGCAGAAGCCTTCAATAGTTATTCTCACAAAACCGGTACAGTCTGATTTGAATACTAAGTGTTCGCCGGAGGGTAGAAGCAATCCCTCTGTGTATTTCTTGTATTGTTATCATTGCTAGTTAGTGGATTCCTGACATGTACTAAAGGTTCTGGCTCTGTGTTCTTTTGTACTACAGCATTTATCTGAAACTGATAACATTGTTTGGTGACAGGAAAAACTCCTCATTATTACACACTATGCATTTCAGAAGGCTTCTGTTCAGTGTACATTTTCCAAAATACAACACAATTGTCATTCTTTAAGTGCATCCAAACAAAAAGAAAAAAAACATGTACATCCCCATTCAAACTTCTGGAGCGTGGTATATATCAGGCTTCAAATGTTAAAGTTTGCATAAAACAAGAAATGTGTCAGTAACAGCGATTTGCAATCAGTAGTACATGTACCACAATTACGTAGCCGTAGCTGTGCATTACAGTAGATTACAACATGGTTATTGTAACATTATCGTAGGAAATATTCCTGGTCAAAAGGAAGTTGGGACTATTTTCTGTCCAGTTGTCGTTTGGAAGGTACAAATAGAGTTCGGAGTATTCCATAAAAATTGGGGGGAGGTGGTGATGCTTTGTTTAATGAGTAGGATTGACATGGGAAGATTTGTATTTGGAACAACAAGTGGGGATGCGTGCAGTGGAGTGGTGTTATGACCACCCCTCTGCTGCAATTTCAATGGAATAGTCCACCTTAACAAATATTTCAGAATGAAAAAATGTCCTTCCCAGTGGTGTTTCACGTATAGGATACAGTTATGGGATTTAACAATCTATCAAATATGAACAAAATAAAATTGAAGGTTTTGTACATTCTTCCACTTTTGCTGCAATGGGGGAATAAACCTCATTTTGCCCAGGAATTTACATTACTGTTGCATGTAGCATTTTCAAGAAGTGGTACAATGTATCTAGCTGTAGCTTCTGATTCAAAGTCAATGTTGATGTTTTTTTTAAAGATCAATTTGTAACTGCAGCATTACAACAATGTGAGGTACATGTAACTACAAAGAAAAAAACAACAACTGTAGCATTTTTATATACAAGGGTTAATCATAATACTGATATCCAAAAACAATTAATTTTTGTACAAGTCTGCTCAAATTCCATCATAGTTACAAGGAGCTAGCATTTCAGCCAAAACTCTTGATGAAATTGTACAGAATTTTTAACCTTTTGATATTGCATAATATTCGAGATAGGTACAGAAATATGGGAACATTCACTGTAAGCAAGGTAAGCAATGTCGAGCATCCATGTCACACCTTTATACATTGCATACAATTTGGTTACCAAATTTAGCTATATAAAGCACCATATCTACCTAATACACACATTTTTCCCATTTGAGCTGTACAGGGTAAGGCATTTTGTATGTTTCGCTGCCATTTTTAACGTTGCAGCATTGTTGCATTGATTATTAATGAGTACACGCTTTAATATTAAACACATGGCTGATGGCAAAGCCGCAAACCAAAATTGTTCGGTGACATTTTCTAGCGGCCACTGGGATAATAAAACAACCAACTTCAAAACACTTTCCCAGGCCGCAAAATTCGCCCAATTCTCATTTGCTTAACGATGCCATCAAAGGTTACGTATCATTGGCCCATTTCAACATGAAACAACTTCTCCTATTGGCCAACACAGAAACAGTGACTCCCACCATTTTCTTTTTTATGCTGAGCTAAATAAAAGAAAAAAATCATCAGCTTACTTGGCATTTGAGATCAAGCCATTGTCAGTGACTATTAAACAAGTTCCAAGGAATACATAGCAGTAACACTTGGTGGCCCAAAAATGTAGAGAGGGAGATTCATACTAGTGTTTGAAGATTGTATCACACAGTATCACACAGTGCTGACTGTAGCATACACTTCAAATACACAAAAACGTTTTAGGGAAAGCTCACGTTAAACAGTATACTTTCACAACTCAAGCCAAACTTGACATCACATTCTGTAAGAAGTCGTCACACTTCATAATGGGGGGATATCTTTGATGTCATGACAGAAAATTGTGCTTCTCTCTAAAGAGAAAACTATCCCCAATTCTTAAGTACTTTCAGACAATCTATACAGCTTTTCAAGTACCACAAGCTAGCCTTTAGAGTGTGCAACTGTCAAAATGACTTGACAGTTGACAAACATCCACATCACGGACTATCCGCTCTCTTCGAAAGCTTGTCAAGTTTACAAAAAACCACGACACTCACGACAGGCAGACGGTCACTTACACTCAAGCTCACACCTCAAAAAAAGGCAGGGTCATAGAAATGTTACCACTTACACGACAACTGTAACATGGTACATGGTTGACCAGCATCTAACATGCAGGTACTTCATTCTTTGAGCACAACCGAAACCTATGGCTTTACAAGTAAAAGAAACAAGGTCTGAGCTCTCTAGAAAGCAAGACGTATTGCCAAAAAAAAACAGTTAAGTATACATTTTCCACATAGCTGATGACATATCAAAATGAAGAGGTATTTATTTGGCCAAGCCCAGCTCTAGAGTTCTGTGTGCTTCTCACACTGTTGTAACATAGCTACAATGGTTAACAGGGTTGATTCTAGCCTACTATTTCTTCTTTTTTTCTCTCAGGCAAATTTACATGTATATTGTCCATTTCTCTGGATTCATGTTTTTAATTTGGCAGCATGTTTGGTATACTCGGTATACAAGAACAGTGTATGCATACAGGAATTATTCGAAGTGCAAGTCCGTCTTTTTTTTTCCATCCACTTCATCCACATGACAAGTCTGTTGGTATCGTCCTGTTAATCATATGTGGATGCCCTGTGCATACTATCTCTGTGAGGACGGCGGATTGCTGGTGCCCTTCTGCAGGTGGCTGTAGGGTGGCTGCTGTTGTGCCTGTTGGTACGCCTGCTGCGGTAGGCTTGCCGATGGAGGGACCACGCCCCAGGCCTGCTGCGTTCCCATGCCCTGCGGGATGTACACGGGCTGGGACGTGGGGAAGGTCTGCTGATTGTACTGGGTGAAGTCTGCGTGCATGGCCCCGGGGAAGGTCTGCTGGTTGATCTGGGAGAAGTCGGCGAACCCTTGCTGCTGCAGGATCTGCTGCTGGTGGGCGAGCATCTGCTGGTGAGCGGCCAGCATCTGTGGCGGCGGCATGGCATACTGGGGAATGTTACCGCTCGACAGCTGCCTCTGCGAGGGCGCCTCGCTGTCCGACTTCCGCCCCAGCTTGGGCGTGCTCGACGGCGTGCTGCCCGACGACGACCCAGAATGCAGCACGGTTTGCTGCACGGCCTGCGGCACGGCGAAGCCGCTCTCCATCTCCTGCCGGATCTGAGCCTCCCGGATGGCGTTCAGACTCAGCTTCTCCATCACGGGAGGCGCTCCCTTCTTGTTCTCCCAGTCCACCAGGTCGGCGTACTTGGTCAGGTGGTCTGTAAGTTTCTTGGCTTCTTGCCCCTGCTGAGCTTGCAGATCGACTTGACTGGACACCGTGCTCATGATAGACTCGGTAGACTTGGAGGCTGCCATCCTCGGCTGCTGCAGCATGGTCGGGGTGGTTGGTCCACTCTGGGTCTCCTGTACAACGGGTGGCCCCGGCTCCTGTGCGGCCGATGTCTGCACCTGCTGCTGCATCTGCTGCACCTGTTGCAGCTGTTGCACCGGGGCCTGGTTCAGCTGCTGCATCTGACCCTGCTGCAACTGCTGCACCTGAGGAAGTGTAGACATAGACTTGTCAGCAAGGCAACGCAAATAAATCTGTTCAAACCTATCCTCGCAAATCACAGTTTACAGGAACAGAACAATCAGATATGTTCAACAGGAACAGATATCAACAGTGAACAGACATCGACATGTATGGTTATCTACAGCTGAGTTTATGTGTGGATGCCAAAAGTTAGTAAAATGAATCAATGAAAACAAATGAGAGTTAGGTCAACATGAGTGGGACATGTGGAGGCACAGTCTATTTTCCAAGAACTTAATTCTGCAATTGAACAGTGGACTTGGTGTGGAATGAACGTTTGTTGTTGGGGTGAGTAAGACAAAACATGATGACTTGAATTTCATGAAATGTAATACTGTACTTCAGACCTTATTAAAGTCATCCAGAGTATAGTAGCTATACCAGCGGGCTGATGGGGATCCAAAGCTATACTCCGCAGAGTAGCCTAGTGACTTGTACTGATGGCAAAACAACAGAAAAGGCATGAAATCAAACAGAAAAGCTGGAGGGAAGAGTATATTAAGCATTTTGCAAAGTTTCAGGTCTATTTTGGATGAAAATCAACTAGCAACACAGTGACCGATGGCAACTTTTGAGTTGAACAAAAAAAAAAGCAAAAAAGCATATTTCAAAGACAAAAAAAGCACAGCATGCTACAATAGAATCCTTGAAAAGTTTTGTGTAACTCACAGAACGTGATTCTGAGCATTTATGTTTTATCGACAACATGCATGCTTTTGTCCCAAAGACATCCTGACTAGAATGCATGGACAAGGAAAGGATGTCTGCCAGTGGTCAAATTATAACCGGCATGTCAACTGGTGATGACAAAGACTCTTGTCAAGTACTACAGGTAGAAACTTCAAAAGGGAAAGAAAGGTAAAAGAGTGTAATAGTTTAACCCTAGCCTGGGCCCATCCCTGTTGAACTGGCTGTGTATTCGTATCAGCTCCAAAAGGAGTCAGGAGCAGACCAACCTCAGAAGGCTGGACCCGGGCTAACCGAGGCCGTACAACTGACCTGTGGGTTGGGAATCCGCGGCACCGAGCTGGACCGTTGGTGTGGCCGCGCCGGTCTCTTCTTCTGGGTCAATAACCTCTCCACCTCCTGCTTCTGGCGCATTTGCACCTCAGCTAACTCCTGTTTGTGCCTGGAGGAGACAAGGTACGACAGTCAGGATTTATCAGCTATGTTGTTATTTTTTTCCAGAAATGTCCTTTCAATACTAGCAAAAAAGCTACCTTGTACATTCCTATTAAAGATAGTAAAAATCATAAGTTAACAGAGTAAGATGTGATCATGGCATTCTCACACACAAAAATTCACACAGTTACATGTAGATGACCATGGTGTTGAAGCACCAGCTGAATGTTCTGACAGTTCTTTCTCAAGTATCAAAATGTAGTCAGCAAACATATACCTTTTGGTTAAAACCTAATGATAAATGGTGTACATGGTTGGAAATAGCCATTTTTTGTGCGAGACTACTAGTAGTTTGCCAAGTGCGTAAGTCCCGCCTTAGCCAACATGTGACCAATACTTTTACAGGTGGCCTGTCTTATGGCTTGCCTTTTAATATAAACAGCCATTTTGACAGCAACTTTTGACAGAAATATTGATGCGCAACCTAGCTTTTGGCCTAGATTGGCCACTGGGCAACTTGAGAAAAAAGTATATGTAACCTGGAAGTAACCTGAAATATTGATGGACAACCTTAATACTTCACCAATACAGAAGCATATATACATATATTCTATTGGTACCCACTTTTCTAGTAGCAGTTTCATTTCCTCGTCGTTCAAGCCCTCTCCGCTTGTAGACAGGATGTTTTCCTCCAGCACCGGGGATGACACCACACCCATCGCTGCACTCATGGGGACCGTCTCCACCTGGAATCTACCGTTCTGTTGAGGACCAACTCCACTGGGTTCCTGCAATGTGTGAGACGAAGGCACTCTTCTCTGTAGAGGACAAATTACCAAGAGTGAACTGTTAGTGTTTGAGATAAGGCAAAAAAAAATTGAGGATCTGCAAAGGGAGGATCTTGGAAATACTAACGGTGAGTTTAGGAGGGCTGAAAATGCTTAACAGTACATTCAGGCAGGCTGGCAACAGTTCAGAGTAAATCAAGTTGTGCTTGTGTAAAGTTTTGGGAACGACTTGGAATTTTCTTTTGTCACCAGTGTGTGGCAAAACGTTGGACGGTCTGTAATGATTTTTGGGCAATCTGGCATTTGACTACATGATGCAAAGAACTTTTCAATGATGGTTAAGGATGAATTCAGGATAACAAATAACATACATGGAATTAAGTCGACTAAATTACACTGCACAAAGAATTTCCTGACAATGCTTAATGTTGAATTAAAGCGGCCGGCTACAATTAACAGTGAATTGAAATGGCTCCAAGGCTTCACAGAAAAAAGCATGCGGACCCTCGTAAAACAAGTGCCATCTGGTAATACGTCCTTCAGATATTTGATGGTACAAGGGAATATGGTTGCAACTTCGCATCAATGAAGAAAAGCCATTCAAGACACATGATGACAGTATGTGTAGTAGTAGCTTTGTAAAACATCACTGAGTATGATCTTGAGTGGCAAATCAGGTAGGATAAATGAAACGTAAACCACTAACCAACTGGTCAATGGGTGGGGGCTTCTTGAACACGTCGTCATCTGAAGGCATCTTCTCAGCAGCATTGTTGTCTGAAGCAGCAGTGGCAGGATGTTGTCCCGTGTGGTCGTCCCGTTCCGAGTCTAACGTCGAGTCCTGCTTTCCCCCCGCGTCCCCATTTTTAGCAGCAGCGGACACTTCGTCCTGGATGGTGGACACCAGGAACCTTCCCTGTTTGGTCTCGTCCACGGGTGGCTGTGGTTGAGTCTGTTCTACGACGGCTTCTGGTCCCTCTACCTTCTGTACCGTTTGGTTCACCAGCTGCTGTACGATGCCCTCCACTTGCTGCTCTTCTGTAGTGACGGGCACGTCCTCCATTTTCGTTTCCGGTCCAACTTCTGCACTCGGTGAGACGAGGAACCGACCAACCTTACCGTTGGTGCCAGAACTGGGGGTGAGTTGTGAGACGGCTGGGATCGGACCCATACCGGGAGGCATGCTACCTGGGATCTGCATGGGCGTCTGTCCCGCCACAGGGCCGGTCATGTACTGATGTTGGGGTTGAATAGGGAGTGGTGCCGCCATGGTCACAGGTCCCTGTCCTGGGAGTGACCCAGGCACCATAATGCCCTGCTGCCCTGACGTCGGCATGGGGTAGGGTAGCTGGCCGTACGGATACATCCCCATGGGGTACTGGTTATACATCGGGTACATGTGTCCGGGCATGGGGATCTGAGGTTGCATGTACTGCTGCTGAAGCATCTGGTTCTCAGCTGGCATGGAGGAAGAGACGGGTATGGTTGGCACTGGTTGAGGCTGGGTGGTGGACGGCTGCACCGGGGATCCGGATATCGGAATCGGCGAGCCGAAACCGGCATCCGATCGGATGGTTGTGACGGCAGGGTGGTCCACCGAACCCCTCCTTTCTTCCAGTCCTGGGCTGGAACTGGATCCAGCCGGTGCGCTGACGCTCGCAGACGTGCCCTCCTGTGTCTCCCCTTGTACAGATGTCACTTGGAATCTGCCCGTGACCGCCTCGGACGGGGTGGTCTCTGCTGACTCTCCTGCGCTGGGAGTGGTCTGGACTGTGACTGTTCCCTGTGGTTTGGCAGAGGTCGTCGTCACAAAGGTTGTTGGTTGAGTCGAGGCTGACGACGGTACAGGCTCAAATGCTGACCCCTGCATCTGTCCCACAGTTACCGGAGCAGCCCCTCCACCGGGAACAGAGGGCATGCTGGGCTGTGGAGCCTCCCCGGTGGCAGATACAGCACTAGGGGTAGGGGTTTCACTGGGGACTCCTGCCACCACTGTCGGCTTGCTGCCCTGCTTGGCTAGTTCCTGTAGCTTCATCTTTAAGTCTTCGATGTCTCCTGGTCTGGGGATCTTGTGCTTCTCTTCCAGTTTTACTGGGACGGGAGGAGTAGGACTCAAGCTGGCTGGTTTTGAGCTGGCTGGAGGCTGCTGTAACATTTGGCCTTGTGTTGAGGATGAAGGATGGCCCATTTGAGGCTGGCTGGCGGGTACACCCTGCATGGGGACAGCCTGGGACCCTGCAGATTCCTCAGCTGGCACTTGCTGTATGGGTGGAGATACACTTTTAGCCGGTGTGCCTGGTGGACCCTGACGTGGTGCAGGTGGCTGAGCAGCTGCCTGCCGCTGGCCAGCTACAGCAGGTGTTCCGGCTACGCCTGATGGCACCTTGGATTCCCCTGGTGCAGGTACAGAAGCCTGTGGCTGCGTGTCCCCACTCGGAGGCTTACCAACATCTTGTCCTTGTACCTTCGTTGGAGGTACCTCCACACTGGGACGCTTTTGCATTGGCGGCTTGCCCTGGGGAACAGTTCCCTGTCCCTGTGAAGCCTGGGATGAGGACTGGTCGGGTACAGAAGGCCCTGTCGGCTCTTGAGGTGACGTCTGGGTGCTGATTGTCTGCAAGGTTTGCCCTGACGCATCTGCTGGCTTCATGATTCCCTTCAACGCATTGTCCAAGGATTCGGGGCTCTTCGCTGCTTCCTCCTTATGAGCGGCGACGTGCCCTTGAGGCTTTGTTGGCTGGACAGGTTGGGACTCCGGCTTCTGATCTTCTGATGTGGAACTCACAGCAAATCTCCCCACCACGGTGGGGGCCTCTGGCTGTTCAGCTGCGGCTTGTGGGGGCATCTGGGCTCCTGGTTGTAAGGGCATTCCAGGGTGTGGTGCCATGGGCATTCCTGAAAAAACATAGCCATTTACTTAAGTTTTTTTTCTAATGCATCATAGAACAGCTATAGAATATCACTGGTCAAGTTTGGTCAACCAACTTTGTAAATTTCTCTTTGCATTTTAAAACTTACCAACAGCAGTAGTAAAAATGGGAGTCATTTAATTTCTAATTCTTCACTATTGAGAGAGCACTTTCATAGAAATTACTGACTCTGAGAAGTGTGTTTAAAGCATGTCTTTACCTGGGAGGTTCTGACTGTGCATGTAGACATTTTGTGGTGACACTCCAGGAGGCAAGCTCTGTCCGTGGACACCTTGGGTCGGCATGACCGTCTGTGGCGGAACAACCTGGGGAGTTGGTACAGCCTGGCTAGGCTGCATGCCCTGGGGAGGCTGCATGCCCTGGGGAGGCTGCATGCCCTGTGGAGGCTGCATGGCCTGCGGAGGTGGTACAACCTGGGCAGGTGGTACAACCTGGGGTGACGGTGCAACCTTGGCCGACATAACAGTCTGCGGGAGGACACCGTGAACAGGCACAGATGTGGGCGGGACAGGGGCCTGGTGAACAGGGGAGCCCTGCTTGGGAGGCTCAGCGGGGGCCTGCGCAGGAGCCTGGGTTTGAGGCTGGGGAGAGGGACTCTTTGGTGCTTCAGGCTGAACAGGCGGCTGCTCCTCAAGCTGTAACTTCTGTAGGAAAGAAACAACTTTGATCAGAGACGCAGAAACAACTACATTGCTCCACTTTTAGAAACAGTTACATGTACATGCAGCAAGACTTAAAAAATAATGCAGCAAACTCAAAACGATCTGATTCAAGGTGAAGAATGTTAGCCAAAAATATCAATTATTGAGGAATGCAACATGACGAGTTTGTTACGTGTGAAGGTCATGTCTTGTACCGAACAACAGTTACTGGAACTTTACAGGAAAAATTATTTTATGTGTAAAGAACTGTAGTTGTTGACTGAAACAAGAGGAAACTCGAACAAGCCTCATGGATTCATTCCTACCCCTGGCACATTTTCTTTTGTCTTGTTATTTACTGTTATGTATTTTGTTTTAAATATGTTCAAATAAATAAAAATAAACTAAACCAAACTAAGGACTTGCAAAGAATTCTATGTTGGTGTGACACCTTGAACACAAATACCCCAGCTTGATGTCGTCAAAAGTTTCTTAACATGTCCAAAAGTTTAAAATCGTACTGAAGTATATATAAACTAAGGATGTTCACCTGTTGAGGCTGTGTGCCCTTTTCCTCCGCACTTTGTGAGGCTGATCTCCTGCGCCCGGCAGGCGGCACGTAGGGTAAGGCCAGCGGCTTCTCAGACGATTCAGCTTCTTTCACAGTCTTGATGATGTCACATATTTGCTCTTTGAAGAGGCCGGAATGTTGCTCCAGGATCAGACCCTCTTTAACCTAATGATAGAAGAGCACACACACACAGAGGACACTGTGACATCTCTGACCATTACAAATAACTGGTGTGAAAATATGGGACACGTCCCAGCTACTGTGACATGAGGACTTAGGCAGAACATGTTGCGCCTGTGTGAAACCTTTTTTTCACGGTTTTAGTTGGATGTTTGGTCAACGTTTCATCAGAATTTTGTCTGTTGCAGGCAGCAGCTTTTCTGACACAACATTTTAACATGTATTTGAGGATGTCATCCTTAAATACATAAGTACGACCTTAAATAAGACGTTCTGGTATGCACAATACATTACAGGTTTCGCGCAGGCACAGTACGTTCTGCCGATGTGCTACCAATATGTAATACCAGAGGATGACTACACCTACTCAACCATAACTTCTACTGCTTAAATGCTTGATTTATTATATAAAAGCATCGCTATGGTTTCTATCTACTCACATGAGCCATTTTCGTTTTCATTTTATTGTCCACTGTATGTTTTGTATTTGCTACCCCAACTTCATGTTTATGTTCTTTGTGTGTCATGAGCAAAGGATCCTTCTGAGCACATTACATACTTTCTCTCCAATGTTCTCAAATCTATGTGAATAAAATAAAATACTAGAAAGGTAACATTTGCAAAGCAAATGCATAATATTAACCTCCGCATATGGTCCGCTCTGTTAATTCTTACTCAAATGCATTCACATATATGGTGACAGGAGTCTAAGTCCCTCCTACGATAAAATTGCAACATGATGTAACCATGGTGAGTGGCAGTCTGGTCATTGACCAGGTCAGAGGTCAGTGTTTGGAACGGAAGAAGAGGAAGAAGAAATAGAGCAAAAACAATATGTTTTCCATGTGATGAGAAGTAACATCTATAATTTGAAGGCCTACCATGTTGTCTGTCATTTCCTCCGGTGAGTCGTCCTCTACATTGAACTTGAATGTGATGGATGTCCGGCTGGTGTCACACTGACACTCCACCACCTGCTGCTCCTGCTCCAGGCTGATTATGGTGCACTTGATAACTGGACCCTGGGCAGAAAAAAAGGTGTCAAAATTCATGTCACCTCTTCCCTAGCCCAAGAGCTATCTATCATCCAAAATTCGTGACCCTAGCATATTCAGATCACGAGATATCAAAACCAGTTCTGCTGCACTACTAACAAATGTCGCCAGAGGGCCCAAAATCTAATCATTTCTATGTCTCATCAACACCTACCCACCTACCAAGTTTCATGAAAATGCACATAAAGCTTCTTCAGTTGCAATGTATGCTGCTAACAGACAGACAGACAGACAAATGCTACTGAAAACATAACCTTCTTGACCGATAAAATAGTTTGACTTCAATCCCTTTCCCTAACACTTTGTAATGGGTAGTAATGGATAATACCCTCAGCTCTGCATCTCTGTAACTTTAGAACCAAGACTAAATTGTACACAGAAAAAAAGTTACACTCACCCCTTCTACGTCATGTGCCTTTTTGGTAAATTTCCTGGCAATCCGAGGACTCTTAAGTACAATGGGCTCATCCGTGGGTCCCTTTTCTTTGGCAATCTTGGCTACTTCTCGGATCTGTTCTTTGAAGACCTCCACGTAGTGTTCCAGAAGGTGCTTTTCTTCCCTCTGTGAGTTGGAACACAACAAAAGAACAAACCATTCAAAACACGTCATAATCAACTCCATCATGTCTATACTAAAACAGTATTATGATCTGAGTATTAAGCTCATTATCAATAGAAAACAATGATGGTCAGCGGATGTTAACAATTGTAACAAAGAACGTTCATTGTCAAAAAGGCAAAGATGTCTTTGCTGAAAGTCACTTCACGTAGTCAAAATCTCCTTGAACATCTTAATAAAGGGGGTACCTCATGGTAGCATGCAAGGACCACTCCTTGTCCAAGTGTGCATTAATTAAGGGATAATGAGGTGAATATGGTGTCTAAATTGTGAGTCTAAATTGGCCTCAACCAGTTCTTCTATGACAAATTCTGACAGCATTGTGTGATGCTTTGGAATAATCGTATATCATGGCAGAGAAGTGGGACCTCACCATGTTGTCTGCTATTTCCTCTGGATCCACTTCGTCTGACTCGAATCTGAAGGTCACCGTCTTCTGCTTGTGAGTCTCGAACTGGCACTCCACCAGCCCACCCTCCTCGATCTTGGTGATGCTGAGTTTGGGCGGGCGCTCGTGCTTTCTCTTGGACTTACTCCTGGCCACTTTTTTACCATCTTTCTTTCCTTCCTTGTCACTCTTGTCAGCATCAGAAATATGTCTGTGAAGGACAGGAAAATAAGCAATGAACATCAAGATAGGGAACAATAGACTGCTCCCATTTTTGGACCATAATAAAAAAATTATGCTCCCAAAAATTAAGTCGTGTGCCTGCAAAACTTAACTATCATTATCATGATGGCATATTTGCTTTCTTGCTCTCTAATCATGAATTCAAAAAGTTAGTCTGGAGCCCAGAAATGTCCTAAACTTTTCTTACTTATCATTTGTCAAGTATTCAAGGATTATGAATGTTATTAATGAATGTTCTGAATAATTATGAATGGCTAAGAGAGTTATGAGTTTTGAATGTTGAGAATACCAGACCCCCTACTGTAGTCATGTCTTTGGGGCTAACTACGTGCCCTTCTGTACCTGACCCCTACACTGTGAAAAATTCTGCTGAAAACCCTATAATAAAAAAACAAAGAGCAAGGACTCTTACCCTTCCTTGGTTGTCCCTTGTGCGTGTATTTGCTCTGTCTGTGCCTTGTCTTCCAGACCGGGAGAGTGGGGTTTTCCACCTTGGTCCCCTTGCCAAACGTCTTGTTTCTAGAAACAAGAAAATGAAAAGTTCGTAAATTCTCATAGAAATACGATTTAAAAAAAAAAACTTATGATAAATTCCAATGCCCGCACTTGCTGGCTCTTCTTTCAGTTGACTGACACTCAGGAAGCAAGGCGTATATGTGAGGAGAGAAAAATATCTTTTTAGGTTAATATCATATCAGTATAGAAGAAATTAGGTAAACGTATGACAGTGTTACCAGAGGTGTTTGGAAATGCCGTTGCAATTCCTTGAGTCAAAAAGGGAATCTAGAAGAATAAGAGAAAAGCTTCTCAAGATTCAATGGAGATCAGTTTGCTTGCTTTCTCAACAAAACACACACAGCACACGTTGTTGATTTTCGACTATATCTGTCAAATCCAAACCAAACCAAACAAGGGAAAAAAAGTAAGGTTTTCAGCACTGGGGTTAGGTAGGGAAAATTTCGTTATAATTAAAAAAATCCACAGCAATCGTCACTCTAGGGATTGAAGAGGAAGGGGGAGGGGGGCAATCGAGTTCGAACCTGTTCCTGCGATTGTGTGGGGGAGGTCTGAGTAGATTGGTCAGAAACTGGGGACGAGGAGTAGCCTGAAGAAGTGTGAGGCTGTTGGGTGAAGATCGGCAGGTTGATTGGCGGGGTTGTTGCCGCCCCTGTGGCGGCCACCTGCTGCTGGCTGCTGCCCACCATACCTGACGTCTGAAATGGTGTAATATTATGGACTATTTTTAGCTAGCACGTACTTTTCTACATCATTTTCCTCACAGAAGTGCTAGCCAAACAAAACAAAATCACAATTGATTGGAATCATTGTCATTTTCCACTCAAAATTAGATTGTAGAACACAGTTATGCAAACGTCTGTGTTTTAGAAAGTAAACCACCACTCAAAAAACATCTCTCAACATCAGACAGTCAAGGGTGATGGCACGGCAACCCCACTAATACTGGGCAACTCTCCATGCTAGCTGGGACGTACTGTACAGCAAATGTTAGGCCAAGCCGGGGGAAAACAGGGTGTTACATTCATCTGTCATGAAACCATGCCCCCGACCTGATCTTGTGGTGAGAAAGATCCCAAATTCCGGTCAGGAACAACCTCGTACACGTGCTGTGGGATTGGTCGGATAGGCTGGGTCCCGTGTAGTGGGATCGGCCGGACGGGCTTGGTTCCACTAGTACGCCGTGGGTACTGATAGAATGCCACAGGGGACGGGCACTGTATTTGGTCAGAAAATGACACAGATTTGACCCAACAATTTTTAACAGCTGCCCATTAAAATGCCATAAAACATTCTCTGCTAGAAGCTCTGGGATAAAAAAAAAAATGTTAGTAGCTTATAACAATAAAATGTACATTGTAAGTAACACCTATGCTCTAAAAAGAAAAAGGTTATGTTTAACAAAGCCTGCAATAAAAGGTACATGTATATTATTATTAAGCAAAGTATCTAACAAGAGAAAAGATTTGTTAGCATCGATGGACCACTGGTTAACATGCAGGAAGAATAGTCATTGTTGTAGTTGCCAAAGCATGTCGACAGAACGTACTGCGCCTGTGCGAAACCCTGATTCTTCACGGTTTTCGTTAGATGTTTGGTCACCGTTGCATTAGAATTTTGCCTGTTGCAGAGGATATCTTTTCTGACATAACATTTGGAAACTACAGACGGAATATTAACCTTATATACCTGAATACAACCTTATATGAGACATTCTGTCGAATGCACAATACAATACAGGTTTAGCGCAGGTGCAGTACGTTCTGCCGACGTGCTAGTTGCGACCAATGACACGGTGGTAGGACCGTTCGTTCCAACCTGTCGTGCGGCTATGTGACAGGCGGCGGGGTGCGGCGGCAGGTGAGGCAGCTCGCTCAGCGGCTGGACAGCCACCGCTGGCTGGTACACACTCACCACCACCTGCACAACATGGCGACAGGACGCTTTTACTCGGTTCTCTATGCGCCGACAGTAAATATGAGCCCTATGCCTGTACAATTCTCAACGGACTACATTTTTTTCTAATTCCTGTGCAGTACATTAAATGGCTTTAACTATATATCAACAGGTCAGCAAGAAGCTCACCACTACAGCATTACCTATAGTAGAAAGAACCGGTTAGTAGAGGAGCAGTGTACTCTGAAATGCCAAAATAAAATTGCTACAGGTCCAGACCTGGTCTGGGTGCGGAGCCTGCTGTACATGTACATCTGCAGGTGCAGGGACCTGGGTCAGGTGCTGCTGGGCCACCTGGAACACCTGTTGCACCTGCTGTGAAGCTGGAGGGGCATGTTGACCTGGCAGTGGTACCACGGGTGCTGTCGGTGATACCACAGATACCAGTTCAACAGGCTGTGGTACCATGAAGGCTGATGTACCCTGCTGTGGTACCATGGAGGCTGGTGTACCCTGCTGTGGTACCATGAAGGCTGATGTACCCTGCTGTGGTAGATGTACCCTGCTGTGGTACCACATTGACTGATGCAACCGGTGGTGGTACCACTGATACTGGTGAACCCTGCTGTGGTACCATGGAGACTTGTGTACCCTGCTGTGGTACCATGGAGGCTGATGCACCCTGCTGTGGTACCATGAAGGCTGAAGTACCCTGCTGTGGTAGTGTACCCTGCTGTGGTACCATGGAGACTGGTGCAATTTGCGGTGGTACCACTGCTACCGGTGAACCCTGATGTGGTACTACTGATACTTGTGTACCCTGCTGTGGTACAATGGAACCTGGTGCACTCTGCTGCGGTACCAGAGTTGACTGCAGTGGTACCCCGTGAACGGTTTCTGGAATCAGAGCTCCACTCTGAACTTGCAATGGCTGCTGAGCCATGGGAGACAATACCACCTACATCATGGCGATGGAAGGAAAAGAAAGAAACAAAGAAGAAAAAGCAGATCACTAAACAGAACTGGACAAGGAAAGAACAATTTCATAGTAAAACCTGTAAGTAATTATCATCATGTCTGCAGTGTTTATCCTGTGATAAAGCAAATGTGAAGTAAAAAAAGTTAGAGCAGCACTATATTTATCTATATGTCAATATACGTATCATGTTCCTTTAGTAGATTACTCCTACTCTATGAACCAGCAGTAAATACAGGCCCTGCACAACAACCTACATGTACTTAGTTCTTAACGGACTATCTCTCTAATGTGAAACAACATGTAATGTTATGGCCTTAACAATCATCATTAAACATTAAAAGCAAGAAGCTCACCACTACAGGATTACATGTACCTATGGCAGAAAGAAGAAGTGCAGTTAGTAGATATAGGCATTCTAAAATCCCAATATGATTGTAGGTCCAGACCTGGTCTGGATGTAGAGCCTGCTGCAGATGTACATCTGCAGGTGCAGGGACCTGGGTCAGGTGCTGCTGGGCCACCTGGAACACCTGTTGCACCTGCTGTGAAGTTGGAGGTATGTGCTGACCTGGCTGTGGTACCACCGGTACTGTTGGTGATACCACAGACACCAGTTCAACAGGCTGTGGTACCATGGAGAGTTGTGTACCCTGCTGTGGTACCGCTGGTACTGTCGGTGATACCACCAGTTCAACAGGCTGTGGTACCATGGATACTTGTGTACCTTGCTGGGGTACAATGGTCATGGAGACTTGTGTACCCTGCTGTGGTACCACAGAGACCTGCTGCAGTGGTACCGCATGAACAGGTTCTGGAATCACAGCTCCAGCCGGAGCTTGCAATGGCTGCTGAGCCATGGACAATACCACCTACATCATTTTGACACAACAAAGAAAGAAACAAACAAAGAAGAAATGGTTGAGGAGAAAATCATTCCAGACTTACAAATGTAAGTAATATCAGTTAGGTGTGCTGTAATGTGGTTATGGATCATGTCTATGAGTTTCTATTAAGCTTAAACATCACGCAGCAGTCTGCAACTTTTTTCCTGTGGTAAAACTAAGAAGTGTGTTAAAAAGCAGTATATCGACAAGCTACATGTAGAGAAGTCCTACATTTGGCAAAATATTATACAATGTGGTAACTGTGTTAATGACATTCAGAAAGTAATACCTGTCTTAAATGTCACTGAAGCTGTGCTAACAAAAACACACACATTTGACCTGAATCAAACTGACAAGCATGACCTACATGTACTTGTCAGCACACAACAGTTCATCTAACAAACTCATGTAAGATGGCTTTCAATAGGTCAATAATAATGCTAATAGGTCCATAATTATGTTAATCACCAATGGTTACAGAACTTAATGACACAGTTCATCTAACAAACTCATGTAAGATGGCTTTCAATAGGTCAATAATAATGCTAATAGGTCCATAATTATGTTAATCACCAATGGTTACAGAACTTGACACTGAATAGCAAAGTTCTTTATTCACTTGTTGAACAAGAGCTGACATTTCAATGTCATCTTCAACAGGGCAATTATGATTGGTTCACTGTGCACTAAAGCTAGGTGTTACCGCTAACAATGCGGTCCCAATTGTTTAGTAATTGTGACATTACACCTATCTTCAGTGCACAGTAAACCAGTCAGAATTGCCCTGATGAAGATGACAGAAAGCTAGTTTGTGTGCCCTACCTGCTCATGCTGTTGTAAAGACGCAGTGGGGGCCACATTTGCCTGGTACGCTTGTTGGCCCAGCGACTGGCCTGGTTGCGTAGCCCCTGGGATCTGGTGCTGGTACATGGGCAGTGTAGCCTACAAAATAGATGTTACAACTTCAAAAAATGTGGGGACACTGCTGGTAAATTTCAAACTATTGCAGCAAGTAACTTAGCTATTCTGGGTTCAATCTTCTACATGGTATGTTAGTAACAGACTCCATGGTATTGTTTTCAGGTACACATTCCGGAGGAGGGTACCAAAAATAGTTGGACAGAGATATATTAACCAGCTTGTTACACTGAAGTGAGACGTTTTATTTACGGCTTCAAAACATGATTGAAGTCAAAGCTGCTCCGTGCGGACTAGAGCTAACTGGTTGCAGTAAGCTACTGAGGAATAAATCCAAGTCAGCAAAGGCAATCACAGAAGAGAAAAATCAACTTTTTAGTGTATGCTGTGAATTAGATGGAGATCGAGCATATCCCTGTGTACATGTATGTAGCTCTTTCTTAGTCCATCAGAGAGCTGACCATTATGATGCAAAGTGATTTTATCAGTTGATCAATAAGAAAGTAATGCAAGTTGAGATGGCAATGACTACATATTACGCAAATTAAGCAGAACGTTAGCAGAGTGGCAAGCTTGCAGCAGCAGCAGTAGTTGTTGTTGCGATCATCATTTAGCAGCGGGCATCTGCAAACAAGGACAGCAGGAGCGTTAGACAGAACCGGAATCACACCTGGGGGTCGAGCTGCTGCGACTGACCGGTTCCCATGGACTGGTCAGCGGGCTGCTGACCACCAGGCACACTGGCCTGAGACGGGTAAAACTGCTGAGGGACAGACTGGGGAGCGATCCCTTGTTGTCCAGGAGCCTGTTGGTACATGTACACTTGCCCCTGTGGAACACGGAAATGTGGAAATTTAGAGCTGTTGACAATGTTTGAGAGGGAATGTCAGACATCTAGGTTACAGTTATATATGGAACAATGTGTACTTGGGTATAAGACATGTCAGTTGCAGGTCAGTGATGTTTGTTCTAGTCGATGTCCATCCTACATCCATCGTACTAGAGGCCTGAATGTCAGAAAAGAAAAGAAAAACATTAAGATTATATGGAATTGGTACTGCGCTTGGTTAGGTTGACCAAAGAAGTGCTGCCCTGCCATGCACAAACTTGCATGAAAGCTGAAAAAAAGCTTTAAAAGAAATTCACGGTAAAGTCCTGATTGTTGTGAGGATACATGATACAATGTGTAAGAAAGTGGGCAAAGAATACTCAAGAGCATTTTTTTCTTCTGTTCAAAGAAACGTAAGATGGTGTGCACTGCTTCTTTCACAACTTATGAAACAACATTTCATAGTTTTGGGTTCAATGACAGATTCTGTTGGTCACTGATGCAAAGTAGTGGATGCCACCTGAATTGTCTGATTGTTTTCAGAATCTATCGAGAATTGCTTGAGCAACAGTTTTTCTCAGCTGGGCAGCATGACAATTGTAGCAGGATTATGAAGTTACACTGTGCTGTGTGTGTGTTTGTGTGTATGTTTGCTGTGGTACAAAATAATAATATTATCATTGTGTTTCTTGTGGAAAACTGTTGGTTTCAAAGTACGAACTGTTTTGGTCGGCAACAGTTTTTCTCAGTTTCTCCAAGGCAGCAAAACAATTGTAGCATAAGAACGAAGTCATGGCAAGCTGTGTGTGTTTGTGTGTATGTTTGCTGTGGTACAGAATGTGTAGTCTCCACCAGGCCTTTCTACAGGAATACGGATCGTAGCATTCGGCAAAAAAGAGAGTAAAATTGGCCAAGGGAGTCCGGCCATTATTCTCTTATGCTCCCATGGCAATTATTCTCTTATGTATATGTATAGCCAGTGTAGATAGTCTGGTAGAGACTACAGAATGTGTACTAGGAGAGAGTTGTTCAGACCTGATCTAGCTGCTGTGAGGATACCATCCCCCCAGGCTGGTCAGGCATGAGGACCACCGGGGGCTGGTAGTAAGACTGGTGAGGTGCAACCGCCACCATGGACTGCATGTAGGCCGCCTGTGCCTGCGCCTGGGTGCATGGGCGTGAAAACGGCTTCTTTAGACACATTCCCAACCAAACATCCCTCCACCAATACTGTAATTCCTGATTTTTTCACTGTACTGTTATGTTCACTGTTTTCACTGTCACTTCTGTACAGTGAACTTATCATTACAGTTAAATAATTCCTGGACTTTCTTTTTCCTGTACCTGTCGCCACAGCGAATATATAATGTCCATTTTTCTCAAACCGTGAACTTTTGCTACCGTGAACGTAAAGTGAATTACAGTATCACGTTTCGTACTCTCAATTCTGTTTGGTAGACAACATCTGTACAAATCCCAACAATTTGAGCATTTCATTTTAAATTTCGTTAAGGGCTATTTTCTTAGAATGATTATGACCTGCCCATAGCTATGGTCAATCTATATGATTGACAAAAAAGAGTGAGATCTACATGTAAGAATGGTACATTGTACATTTTGCAACAACAAAGGTATTGACATTATTCATTGGGCAATGCATATATTGAAGCACAGCCAATCAATTATTTGAGCTAGTTTTTTTCTTCAGCAATTTTACCTGCAAATTTGTAAGATTTGTAAGATTTACTTTGTTATAGCTTCCGGTGTTTATTACTATTATCATAATTATCACATTATTAGAACATTAAGTTGAAAGATGTATGAATGAGTTGTGTTACACACACACACAAAATGGAAGTAATCTATATATAAGAATGGAATGGTTGAGGCTTGCTGTCAAATTCCAGTAGAGTTGAAAGTAATATCCGGACACTGACCACTTGTGAAATGTCACGCTAATGTGACGTGTAATTTTAGTTGACACAAGATTGACTTTTTCTTTTGAAGTGTTGAGTTTAGTGAGGTACTGAGTTTCGTCATTTTAGGAGTGCGGTAGCTATAATGTCATGTATAGGAGACTGCAAATCTAAGGACTGTGGATGAAAGGTGGCACAAATGTACATGAAAAACCAAATCTTAGATCTAGAGATGAAGCCATGATGAGGGTTGCACCAACAGCCAGTTATCTAAATAGTCGAAATGAAACACTGAGGAAAAAGTCTGATCAGGTATGGCAATAAATGTATGCAAAACTCCACAAGATATATGTTAAGACATGATAAAATTGGAAACATTGTGTTGTACATGTACTTCCCAACAAGACATATTATATATTTCTCTCGATGACATCAACAGATTCTACAAATAAAATCTACATGAAGTTAATCTTGTCAAGGTGGATCTAAATGACCTACATGTGAAGAGTCAGCGAGAAGTTGGAATGATAATATGATGGGCAAGGCACTAAGTCAGGATGTGGGAAGGAAAAAGAAAGAGAAAATTGTTCTTGCGTGCTTGATGCATATTGGTCCCAATATTGAAGGAAACAACTCAAGGAGCTTGAAAAGAATGTACCAGAAAAATGCTGATGTTTGTTTGTATCATCATAAAGTAAACAAACTGATGGGATGTCAAATACACTTCTTATTCCATCGAATACAAACTAGTGGTGTACATGTGTACTCAACATGATGCATACATTGTAGTTCAAACAAAAGCCCGGAACTTGGAAATCCTACATTGTACATCATGCCGGTGTGAGATTTTTAAGGGCCTTTAAATAGATTTTTAAGGGCCTTTAAATAATACTGGTTCACCACAGATGGTTCTGAGGTACAGGCCAGTTGGCGGATCGAAGAAACAAATCCTCGAAAAGGTCACCAACAAAATGAGAAGCACCAAAAGAGACCACCCTAATATGATCACGGCAAACAAATTAAAGACACACACACCGCTATTATAGAGAAAACTTTCTATGAAAGCACTGCAACCAAAACCAGACTATTAGACACAAGAGCTACACAAACCAAAGAGGAAAGAAGAAACCCATGCAGATGAGAAAAAAAAAATTCACTGCAAACAAATCTGGTCAAACTCATGCAATGCCAAAGCCTTCTTTCTTCACCGGCTGAAAAAAAAAAGTTTTAAAGGGAGAAATTTTTTTTTTTTTACAAAAATTGTAAAAAAAAATTTTTTTTACAAAAAAAATTTTTTTACAAAAAAAATTTTTTTTTTTCAAAAGGCACACCACTGCACACCAGTTCGCACCTTATCCCCTTCCTGAAGGGCGGTAAGACTCAAGGCTGTGGTTATGGCATCCTGCACCACTGTGGGCTGATACACACTTCCTATAGGAGGACTGGAGGACGGCTGTGCGGTGGATAGGTGGGACTGTGCACACAGAGGTGACACCATAGGCACACCCTACAGCCACAAGGTAGCATGAGAGAGACACAACAATGAGTGGGTTAATAGAACGTCACTGTGTGAACTTCAGACGAAGACAGAAGAATCTGTCCAGATTGTGCTTAAAAGGTGCATCTATCAGTAAGAAGAATTGTGCGTGGCCATGCAGGCAGCATCCTCTTGATGTAGAACAGAGGAACCTTGCAAGAGGTACAAGAAAGAATTCATAACTGTGGCATGAGTACAAACAAAAGAAGAACACATTACAGAAGATGCAACCAAACGACAGTTCAGCGTAAAAGAATCCACTGGTTACAAAGAAGACTGCCTGAAATAAAATCTGAACAGTTGAATGAAGGACAGCTATAGTCCCTGCTAGTGCACAGATACATGTATACAAAAGTAAGAGCACAAAAACACAAAGATTCACAAAACAAAGAAAGCTAACACAGTGAGCGTTTGCAATGACAGTTTTTAGCTATAGGTATGACATGCTTCTATGGCAGATGCATTTAGTAGGCTATGCAAGGTGGATGTAAGACCTGGTCTCCGATTTGGGGGACCTCTCTAGCCGAGACGTGAGGGGGGTAAATGCCGGCACCAGGAGGGGGTGGGTAGATGAAATATGTGGGGGGGCTTCCTACAGATGAAGCAGATGCAGGTGTCCGAGGGGTGGCAGGTGTTGGTTGCACCTGATATGGAGGGGAGGGTGACAGGTGCACTGGTTAGTGAACACATACACACAGATGGGGGTTAATATGGAAACTACAGTGTCATGAGATGAATGCAAGCAACAACATACAAGATGACTTCAAAAAGCCATGTCAACACACCAAGAACAAGAGTTAAAGAAGGAAACAATGTTGAGAAACAGTACACTGAGTCCACTTTGATGAAAGCATTGCCTTGTTGCCTGAAAAGAAATGTTGCTATCATTATATATCAGTATAGCTTTCATCCCATTTGTAATGTACACAAAGTTGGTGCTTATCAGCCTTATTCCTTAGTCCCTTACCACCTAGTTGGTAAGAGTGTAACCTGTTTAGTCGGTGGGGAAAGTGTCTGTGCATGTCCTTGTGGGCTTGTGCTGAGTGCCCAGGGAGTGGGAGGATGTTCACCCGTGTAGGGGAGCAAACTGACAGTGGCTGCCTGAGCCTGAAGTACAAAGTAAAGAGTACTTATCAATCAGTGGTGCTCTTAAAGCAGATACCAACCATCAGTATCTGTTCTGTATAGCCGGTATAACCGCCCCTCGGCGTAACACACCAGCTTCGCAAGCATACATGTGTACTTGACACCAAATGACTTGTTGCACCTAGCCTTTAAACATCTAAACCTAAACATTGTTTAAAGCTACTGTATATAGTAAGAATGCCCCTACTTTAGTAACTAACGGTGTTCCACGCTGCGATAGTTCTAGGAAAGAATGAGTTTTTGAATGCCTCAATCCTTGGTTGATAACTCTGGTACTTGAAGTCATAACTATTTCTTGTTCTTTTCTGAGCTGGTATTAGGTACTTAGTAGTTGGTACGTCCACGTTGGGAGTTTTGGTGACTTTAATGAAATCATACTACATGTACTTAAAAGTTTGTCAGTGGCAACAGTGAGTGCATTTCCAACACCCTATCACCAGATCTGTGCGTTAATGGATATATTATTGACCCGTGACACCCGATATGGGTATATGAGCATAAGAACCTGAGTTTGCTGAGGTGGGAAGTTGTTGTCCTTGGTGGGGCTTTGCGGCATGGGTAGTGGAGCAGACAGAGGGGGGTGGTACAGTTGGTAGTATGGCGGGGAGCCGTCCTGATTCAGTGCCATGATAGGGAGGGACGGTTGGCGTCTTATCTGTCGTGAAAACAGGACCGGTAAATTTTAACGTTTGTACATACGTGTACTCCTTGGCCTGATGACACCGAAACTCACATGGCTGGAATGCATGCTGTATTTGTTATTTTGATACATTTTGAACTTCGATTTTTTAGTTCTTCCTTTATGCCCTACCATTATTCCCATAGCACCAAGGGAAGGTGTACAAGTTAGAAAACCTTGTTTTGGTCACTGTTGATATTTCCGTAACTGTGCATGGTAAGAGACTGCGAGGGATGGCACATTTGGTAGTGAGGTGGGGACGGAAGAAGAGACAGAGTCGTAGGGCGGGCGGCTCCCTGTTGAGAGAAGAACAGTCAGTATGTGTGTACGCACACTTGGGGACGTCCTCAGAGCTTCCACTTAGAGAAAAGTTGTGAGAAAAAGAAAACGACATTTGAGAGAAAAAGTTGTGAGAAAAAGAAAACAATGTTCATTCCAAACAGTAAAGGGCAGCTTCCTTGTGTGTCTGAGATTCTGTTGTTGTCAATATCTTTGGCTAAATCTCTTCATTTCTTATATAGAGTATGGACACGGGCTGGCCAAGGGATGGTTTCTTTATAAGCAGGGAGAAGCATGGGAACTGCGGGACAGGGCTTGGAGGGCAGCCACAGAAAGCTTGAAGCTTTGTCACCAAGGGTAGAGATCTTCACGGATGTCCTTTCACATACTCACACAAGTGACCCATTAATCGGCACATGCATTATTACCTGGCAAAAAACAGCATCAGAATAGGGTCTGTGCAAGTTCCCAGTCCAACCACAAGAAGGCAACGACAATCAAAAATTCACAAACAAGCCACAGTACTTGACGCAATGTCTCATAGGAGAATAACAAATTCATGCCAAGGAAAATGCATTCCATACATGCGCCAGAAAGCTATCAATGGTCATACATGTATAACATGTGCATTTAAGTGCTCCATACAATTATATAAAGCTGACATGCCAAAATCAGTGCGCAGAAATCTTCTTCAAAGAAAGGCCACCTTCCTTCACCCACACCTTTAGTAAAATCCCTTCACCAGCAATATACCAAAAGGAATGCACCATGCACAAAAAGGTCAATATTCTTACATGGAAGATGATGTGATGAAAGAATTAGGAACATTAGGAATGCAAGGATGTAAGGGGATATTCTACAAGTGCTACGCGTGGAAAGGGTCTAAAGAGGCTAAGATGAAAAGCGTGGTACATGATCAGCATGCAACTGGTGCTATGACTTCTAGCAGGACTCCACCATTGAGACATCCTTGAAAATTTCTACCGCTATGGAGGCCATGTCAAACGTTCAGAGACTTCATGCAAACAAAATCATTTCCGTTGGGACTTATATTTTAGGGCTGCTTAACGTAATGATGATGGAAGTCCTTTTGGGAATGATCCTTGTTTTGCATGAAGTCTGTCAACTTTTCGACATGCCCGTGAGGGTTTAATTTGAACCTTTTTGGCTTTGATTCGACTGTTTCCTTCGGCGGGGTTTTCGGCGACAGCCGGCAACGCGGGAGACATGGAGAGGGACGGCCTCCTCTCTCTACTCGGACTGGATTTCTCGGGCGAAGCGGGCGGGGTTACCGAGTTTTGGTGGCCGTAGTAGTACCCCACTAGAAAGCGCTTCTCCTCCTCGCTCGGGCTACCCAGAAAGGGTACGAAGGGCCTGCCCTCCTCTGGCCACGCCCCGACAGGCGGGTTGGTGGTGGGGGAAGTGATTGGGTAGGGGTAATACTGAGGGGCTGTGATTGGTTGTGAGAGAGGCAGACCGACCTGTTGACAGGGACAGAGGAAGAGAACACATGTTAATATGATTAGTGCAAACAAACGTTCAGCGGCAAACATCAAGCAAATAGCAGTGAAGCAGTCCTTGGAATACTGTGTTTCTCATCATAATCCTGTGGGAAAAAAGACAACCAACATGGTTGGAGAATGCAGAGCACATCAGTTGCAAAAAACTGGCCATTTTGTTAAGATGTTAGTAGGGAGACAAAACATTGACAGTGAGGAGGACATATGAAACATTTGAGAATATTCTTGGACAACACTTTCAGTTCTGTAAAATGGGAGGGGAAGAATATGATTTTTTGAGGTGAACACATCTGAAACATGTAAATATTGGTAAAGTGTACCGTACCTTTGTACTATAAGTAAAGAGAAATAAAACTTCTTCACACACCACCGAGTTAAGGCACTACTTTGATGAATACTAGTATACAACAAGCCTAAAAAGCCTTATCCCTACCTGAATATTTTCTTCAAAGATTAGGTAAAGGATGAAGGAATGGGGAAACAAATGTAACAATGTATCTTTAAACTACAGGTAGCTTGGAGGACAGGGGAAGGAAGGAGGGGGAGGGAATTTTGACACACCCTTGGGTATTCATGTAAAACATCAAGAAAGTAAAAATACTGATTCAAAGACTCGTCATTGCCAGACATGTACAACTGAATATCAAATCAAAAGCCATAACAAAAAACTAAGAATGAAAGATACACGTGTACGTGTACATGGTACATGTACATCACCATACCAAAACCATAGCAATTCAGGAAAAAATCAAAGACTCCTCAGATGCAAGGTTGACAAAATCTTCCTCCTACACCATATATACATGTAGAACAACAACACTGGAAATGTGGAGTGACAGCCAGGACAAAGACAAGGGATCTTCACTGACACTAGGATGCACAGGAACTGCTGGGTAATGGTAAAAGCTGTTACCACAAGAGGAAAGGTTTTGAGGATAATTATGTATGATGATGGTGGGGTAGATGAATGCCACAACCGACTAGTAGTAGTAAGACTGTTAACAACTGTTGGCTGATAGTGACCTGCGAGGTGACCTGGGGGCTGGTTAGGCTCATGTTGGGCGAGTCATACATGGACACTGGCAGGGAAATGCTGTGTTGCAAGGCTTGCGAGCCGGGCACGCTCAGGGTAGCCGAGTCTGGGTGGACTGCCGGGCCCGGGGGGATCCCTGACAGCCCTGACATGGACAACGACATGCTGAGGTGAGGCGCTCCTAGCATTACTGGAGACTGTAGCGTAGAGAGAGGAGAGAAAGAGACATGGACTTATTTTTAGTGAGAGCAGGCCACAGGACCGTCAGAAGCACAAGTGCAATGTAGTGGTAAGGATGACAGGGGATACTGCAGGGGTAGCTAGGCAGAAATATTCTTTTGAAAATTGAGAACAATAACTAAACATCATGGAGAAAGAAAGGTGTATCAACTATAGGAGTCAAAGGGATCAAATATGAAGCTCTGACTGGAATCTGTGAAATACAAAAGACGGAATATCACTGAAAGTGCATCAAAAGTGTAGGATAGGCTGGGAGAGGAAAGTACATGTAACATGAGAAATTGTTGTAGAACAGAGCAAAGACAAAATGGCATCCAGTTTCCAGAACAAGGCAGTCTATGCCCAAATGTTCACAGCTTCTTCAAGACTAGTTGTTGTCACATACAAATGTAAGACATATTTCCCTTGTAATACCGTGTTACGGGAAACGTACACTGTAGAATCAACATCAGAGAAAATCTTCTTAATGGGTAAGTCTCAAGCAAGGTTAACATACTTCCTACACATAAATAATTTATTTAAAAACAAAAAAGGAAAAGCTATGCGTTCTCCGAAAAAGGATATATTCTTCTATAACATATTCATAAAACAAAATCTACAAGACCTGACGGCAAGACGAAAAGCAAGTGTAGTAAGAAGAAAATGTTGAACCATGCAGGAGAATTATGCTAAAGTCTCATCACGCCCAAATGTGTAACTTGTGACACCTGTAAGACAGCCTGACTGGATGGCAGAGAAATGGTCTCTGGTACGGGGCCTCCTGGGATAGCCGACACGGGGAGCCCCGGGAGAGAGGGTACCGGGACAGCCGACAGAGAGGATGCTGGGAGTGCTGACAGAGAGGATCCTGGGAGTGCTGAGAGAGAGGGTGCCGGCTGTGCAGGTATAGAGGCGGCCTGGGCCCCTGGCAGAGAGGCTGGGACACCGACCATGGTTGGTGGTAGTGCAACACTAGGCTGGCCCACTAGGAGAGTAGGCTGAGAGAGAGAGAAAGGTAGAAAGACAGTGTGAAACACAGACAGCAGAACTGACATACATGTAACACCGGATCAACGCTGTCTCTTCAATGTCCCAGTCAGGAGCAAGATGGAGTTGAGGAAAAGTAAGAATAGTACACTGTATGGTTAGAAATGGAGACGAAACAGTACAATGTAACTATGGCACATGGGTACGATAAAGGTTTTCCTTTGTACAATGTAGGTCCATGGTTGCATGTATCTCTGATGCAAAAGCTAATTGTTACAATGTTTATGTGGGTCTTCTTCTATATAGGGCTGTTTCAAATTGGAAAAACAAAACATCCATAGTTTGTTGTATTACTGCTACTGGACTCGTTAACTATTACTATTTTTGCATTTGTAGATGCCCTACTATCACTGTAAGTATTACATATCAATACACAAATATACCTGTCTATGATAAGTTATCTAATTTCATTTCTTACACACTACTGATCTTTTTGTATATTCTGCACCCACTAAACAGAGTGTTAGAGCTTGAGACATAATGTTTATGTCAGTAGCCTAAGTCTTGTCTTAACTTCAGTACATGTATGCAAACTGTGAGAAATACCTATAACCATACCTGTTTCGTCTGGTCCAGCTTTTGTCAATTAAGATTTTTACTCGTCGATTCAAACATACACGAGGTACAGAATGCATGGCTAGCTATTGATTACATGACATTGTACATGTATCTACAACTTACCTTAAAGTTTGTAATCATTACACAATACATTTTAGTTTGTACCTTGGACTTTGATGGAAAATTGTAAAATCTCAATATTTCGTACTCTACCTCACTAGATGACTTGGTTTTAAAAATGCAACCAGAAGAGCTTTATGCAAAAGCAAAGGTTCTAATATCCATACTTAACTAACTAGACTACGTCTAGACATTACATCACTAAGTATAAATTAAGGCAGCCTTCAGTGAAGCATTGCTGCAGTATATGAAGATGACTGTATTGTGCTATATGAAGAAGCTACATTTGTACGAGGGAAAAATTGTTTTAGGAGCAACAGAGAAAAGGCTACAACAAAAAGGACCTGTTGCATGGTCTGGCCGGCAGCCATGGTGGTGACTGTGGTGTCATGAAAAGCTGTGGTCAGCAGACCGGACACCGGTAGCTGAGGGCAGCTCGGAGGCAGCGGGCAGGCAAGCAATGTTGGCGGCTATGCCATGGGACAGAGACACACAGAAATACACAAACGTAAGCACAACCGTTTCGTGTTGTAGGTACTACAAGATGGGGACCCCAGAAAGTGCGAAATGGAATGAAATGGAACAAACCAATGTACATATTTCGTTTCATTTTGTTCTATTTCGTTCCATTTCTCACTTTCTGTACATTGACAAGATGGCAAACAAAATGACAACGAAAAGACCATACCATACGAAAAAGACCATACCATACGAAAAAGACCATACGGCTTTCATTCTGAGCAAGAGTATTGTGAGTGGTTAGTAGCAAAGGTGGCTAACGGCAGGTTATTCGAGCAGTGAGGTGGTGAAGAAATAGAGAAATAAGTACATAGTTTAAGAAGTGGTGAAGATACAAGTGGTGAGGAGGACGAGATAAGTGGTGAGGAATGGCGAGGAAGGACAAAATAGACTTCAAAGAGACCTGGTCGACAATGGGTGAAGGTGGACGAGACGGAACATTCACACTCGCAGACGAGAATGGTGACAGAACATGGGGCGAGAGCAGCTGTACACTGACGCTGTTGGCAGAGGACAAGTCCTGTACAATGACCGATGGTACCTGCATGGCAGCCATGGCTGGATCCTGAACCACCATGGAAGTTGGGAGGACCCCCATACCAGGCTGCCCCACCATCAGTACCGACTAGGTAAAACACACACAGACAGGCATGGGCACAGGAAGAAGGGGGGTTAAAACACATGCAGATGAACACGGAGACCGTATCACTGTACATTTACATGCTTCCTCGCAAATGTGGCTCGTTGCTTTTCTATTGTTTATGAATTGTTTCATGCTTCGACCCACACATTTTTTCACGACTTTTCAGATTATATCACTGACATTCTGTATGTATCCATTTTCAGCCCAAAAGATAACTACCTAGTCTAGCCTCAGCTGCTAGGGCAAGTGGAATGCAAAAATTATGTCAAACAAAAACAAAACGTAATACACAACAATGGAGCATTTTATAAGGGGCTAACATTGTGCAATAACCAAGGCAAACAGGCATATATGCAAGCACCAAATTGTAAGATATAGAATGCATGGTAAGAAGCAAACTAGGGATGAACAGGTATGGTAATGCTGTCTTTCGTTCTTTCTCAAACTACATCTTAGTGTAGTCTGAAAAAAAAACATTAATGGACAGTCATAAATTTGGTAAAAAAATACATGTAGATGAATTGGTCAGTGAAAAATCTCTGTTAACACCCTTGACCAATCGAGAGGACCAACACTTCTTTAGGTCAACGCTTTTAAAACTTTCGTGTCTGTATGTGAGGTGATGGTCACGACAGTGTGTGGAAAAGACAGCAGAAATGTTCATCCCTAGTTGGAAACAAAGAAACGGAAAAACGTTAAGCACCTTGTCACCATTGAGCCGTGCGGGGGCAGACAAAGTTGAAGACAGGGATGGGTGGGCTTGTTGTAGTGGCGCCGACTGTGTGGACATGGCGGCGGAGGAGTAGGGCGGCCCCGGGGACACCCGAGTAGTCTGGGCGGGCGCAGACATGGTGACACACAGGGACTGGTGCAGGGTGGGTGGGATGGCGGATGGGTGGGCCTGGCTGGGCTGGCCCATTGGGACGGTGTGTCTACGGGCATCCAACTGTGGCAAAACGGACGGCTCAATTTGAATGGTGTGTCTGCGGGCCTCCAAGAGGGCTTGTTCAGACTGTGCGACTGCGTGTCTGTACGCTTCAAGCTGAGAAACTGTGTGAACTGACTGGTGATAGGCCTCTAACTGTGCCGCTTCAATCTGTACGGTATTTCTATGAGCTTCCAACTGTAGCATGGCCTCCTCTCTCTGTACGGCCTGTCGATAGGCCTCTAGCTGGGACTGTTCAATTTGGACTGTGTTTCTGCGAGCGTCTATGTGTGAGTACGTCAAACCCTGTTGCTGAACAGTTGGCTCCCCCGGGCGGTAACAGTCCACATTGGGCATGGACTCCACTTGGATAGTGTGTCTACGGGCCTGAGGAACATAGGGTTCCATGGTGGTGTTAATGTTTTGTTGCAGTGCGTCCACGGACAATGGTGAGGTGGCATAATGCCCTGCCCCAGGTGCAGGTGCTTGCATGGGCGATGACGAAGGTGGAGGTTGGTGGAGTGGCGGTGGCTGTGCCGGCGCCGCCATGGTCCCCTCCGAGGGGACGGAGGCTGGCATGGCCGAGCCAATGGGGAGGGACGGGCGGCGAGTGGCAAGTGCGGCGACATGAGGGAGCGGAACCTGGTGGGATGAGAGAAGGAAGTGTGGCGTCAGCGAGGAGGGCACGGGGCCACTCCTGCTGACAGTGTACACGTAGAGAGATGACGGGTGACAGTCACAGCGCACACAAGCACAAACAAGGTAAACAAACAACAAATTAGCTCAGGATGAACAGACGCATGAAGTGAACTGCTAGGTTCCAACAGTTAACAGCATTAGTAACTACGTCACCAGACGTGTTAAGCCAATGAGAGTGAAACAAGCAGTTAGGCATCAGAATGCAAACTCTGTTAAGTGGCAAGTGTACTGCACATTAGAGGGCTACGTACAGACCAGCACATGGAAACAGAGGAGCCATTATGGTAGGCACATCCCTGCAGTTAGGTTACTGTGTTCCCTGGAACAGGGATCAGTTCTACACTGCTCATCGGGGCAAGTCATGGCTAGGTAGCCTGCGATAGCACACAGCATGGACTGAAGACAGACGGTGACAGACAAAGTTGAAGCAAAGAGAAAGTTGAGAGAAAATGAAGAGGTGGAAACAAAAAGAAAGGAACAAAGAAGAAAATAAAGACCTGTTTAGAAATGGTATGTGAGAAAAGCAGGCGATGGATTGCCAACCGAGTCAGGTCAGGAAATGAGCTGGATTTTTCTTTCTGAAGAAGAAGAAATGCCGTTAGCAACTGCACTTCTTTGTTACAGCTTGCTGGAGGCAGAAAGACAGAGAGTTGGACAAAGAGGATTACATGGGACAGCTGCATGTGAACAGAAGGTGGTACCACTACCTGGTACTGAACTTGCAGAGAAATGGGCATGTTAATCAAGTCATGGAAGACTCTGGGCACCCTACATGACATGTACGCATGTACTAAACATTATGTTAAAGGAAAGGTATAGACTTATGATGCAAACCATGACATGCAAGCAAGACCCATGCAAGTCACACTGCCTCTGCAAGCTTGTCTCTTTCCTGTTTCAATACAGATTTTCTGGATGGAACTTCTACAAGCATAAAGTAAGGTACTAAAAACGATTAAAGTCTTTGGAGGAATACCCTATTTCGGTACGTTGTACTAGTATCTGAGGTAACTTTTTAACATGCGCTGTAAATTGAATGGCTGTGACATGCTCGATGTTACTGGGATGTTTTGTGACAGAGGTGAAATGGGGAGGGCTGATATAATGCATGTCATTCGAGGGAAAATGTACTGAACTAAAACAGATTCGGCCAACAGTCAGGGAATGCTCAAAAACTCATTCAAACCAAAGTAAACAATAACAATGGGAAGGATATGCAAAACTAAGGACTAAATATGACTTACTAATCAGGTTGTAATTATATTGTAGTAATATGAAACAACATCCATGCGTAACTGCATGCTTTCCATACAGTTTTAACATGCAATCCCAATGAACAATACATGAACAAGAGGAAGATAATTGGGAGCAAAAATATCACTGCGGTAATAGCGTATCTTCATCCAACAAGTTCTACGCAATTTTGACAGTAGTGCCTTGACTTACACGCACATGCCGTCATCTCTAGTGGAATCTAATTTGCTAGATCTAACACTTGTCAAGAACTCACAAACACCTGGGATTCAGTAACACTACAAGAAAAACTACTGGCATACGGATTGTAGTAATATAACTAGCTGGAGCTAAACATCTATTTTTGCCATTATAGCCAAGGCTATCAACCTGCTCTCCCTCCAACAGGGTGGCCAGTGCATGGATGCCTGGTGGGTCCTGTGGGAGGGAGAGGGCAGGCAAACCCATGGACAACAGGTGAGTGAGATTAGTTGGGAGGGCAGGCACCGAGGAACGGCGACCGCGGACAGCCTCCTTTTTCACCTGTGGCATGAAGGCCCAAGTGGGCATTAGGCCAACATATCCACAACTCTGTTTCTTTACAACAAGAAAATAAGGAACTAGAATTGACAACGAAAACAGGTAATGGTATAACCCCTTAACCAAATGGTGAATGTGACTCGAAAAAGGAGACAGAACAATGAAAATGGTAATAATGGTAATGGGGGAAGAACACATTAGTCGGAAACTATGCTAGGATCCAAGTATTAGGGTAACTTGTTCCAACTTTGAGCATATTACATCTCTGAAGTGTATAGTAATGAAGGATTACCATATGACATCATGAAAACTGTACTGTATTCCCAGACAGCACAAAGCTTTTTTTGGTAAAAAAAAATCTATCTTTTGTTTATATCACAGAAAGGTTCATGATTGTTATTTGGAGGGAAACATTGGTTGAGATGATCATAGTGGATTAAAGTTTTAGACAACTGAAAGAATTATTTTCTAATGTCCTCCAAGATGCAAATCCTGCAAAACTTATACACTTAATGAGATGTATGACTGATGATAGGATGAATGAAAACAAATGTGTACATCAGAAAATAGAGATACTGTCTACGAGAGCCCCCATCATGTCCTTCCTACCTGCTTCATGTACTGTGGCATCTGTCCTGGTGGGAAATGGCCAGACATGGACTGGTACTGTTGCCCTAGCTGTTGCTGCTGGTACTGCGCCTGGTGGGGAGGGGGGCAATGTGAATAATGTCAAAACAAGGTCATACCTGGGGTGTAAGCAATAAAATTTACCATGTTTACCAGTGGTATTAGTGTGCAGCTAAACAATATGGATACCTTACTGTTGCCAAGAAAATGTATCTAAGGAACAAATCTAAAGAGCTACATGTAAAGGTTATGTACATGAATTTGGAAATCAAGAATTAATTTAAGAGCTAGGAGCATTAAAAAATTGTTTGCAAGCAAACAGATAAATGCTATAGCTAAAAGCTTATCCAAAATATTGCCAAAGGGTGAAGAAAATGTAGAAAGGATGAGCAGGCCACTTCCTTGGCTGATGAAATTGGAAAGCACTCCCACCAATGTCAATCATCAATTTGCTTCCAACCTTGGGTACTAGCCAAGGATGATAATGACAGTTCAGTACACAGTGATTTGTTAGCACTGTATTTGGAAGGATCTTACACTTGACATGGACTTTCTACCACCTAACTTTAGGTACTGGTAAGCAGTTTCTTGGAAGATGAAAAAAAATAAACTGTTCTCCAACTCAAAAAGAAATTGACTCACCAGAAATTTTCGCCTGAATCGCTGTCTTCATATTAAGCTTTATGACCTAAGTGCTGTGGACATCTGACTTTTAGCCACTGGGTCAAAGTTCGTCGGAAGTCGGTACCGCCCCCCCCGTCACGGTTGAGTGAAGGTTGGTATGCTCAAAAACTTCTGGTGAGTTAATTTCTTTTTGAGTTGGAGAACATTTTATTTTTCTTCCTGTATTTTACCAACTCAGATGAACTTTCATGCTAGTTTCTTGGAAGACCTGACAGTCAGTGAGACCGTTAGCTAAGTGTACCTGCTGGTATGGCTGGTAGGTCTGCTGCTGGTTCTGTGGAGGTGGTGTGGATGTCTGGGGCTGGCTGTAGAACTGGTGCTGCTGGTACTGTTGGTTGAAGTACTGCTGCTGCTGCTGCTGGTGGTACGACTGCGAGCCATGGATGCTGGAGTCACGCGACGAAACCTCCGACGTTAGAGACGAGCCCACACCGCTCTCGGGCGCCGTGCCTTCACCTGAAATACGATACGACTTTATTGGTTTATGGCAGTTTACATGAAGAATTTCATCTAGTCTTCAACATTACAGACATATATATTTACAAACTTTCAACTTTTAAAATTTGCATAATCAATTAAAAGGTGTACGGGAGAACATTAAAAATTACTAAATATAGCCGAGATCTTCTTCAATACAAAAATATCAAACATTTATTTCGTAGTAGAGCGGATGTGGCCTATATACCCAATATAAAATGTAATCATGTTAGATCCTTTAAGACCAGAATATTTACCAAATATCATTGATTATTTCATTGGTTTTTGGGTGTAGATTTCATGGCTGACTGTTTGAAACGGATTTAACCTTTACGGTTGTTCCGTACTAGGTATTGGCTTATTGACTAGCAAACTTCTTTCTTCACAACCACTTGTTTAACAAGAGTGACTGTCATCTTCTTTGGGGCAATTATTAGGGCAACTAGGGATTGGATAATATTAGAGAGAGAGAGAGAGATAAATTCTATCTACAGTACATTGTTACAATATTTTCATGATATTAAGATTAGCAAAGCAATATGGGCATGTTATCAAGTACATGTATACCCGGTATTGCATAGTTACAAAGAAAAGTTTTAAGTAGAAATGTTTAATACAGATACTTTCCTCTTAGTTAGAATTAATCTTTACAAACAAATTCTTATATATCACTGATATGTATGAGCTACAATTTGTCTAGATATTTGTGTACGTAACACATTTAATACAGTGTTGACTGACCTAAACTTAAAATGTAAAATCTTTTGGAATTGACATGGATCAACTTTGGCATCAGTTGTCACTCCCACAGCCATTGTTCTACACGACTGATCATTGTATATCTTCCACGAGATTAAACCTTCCGGTCATGCAAGGTTGGACGTAATGTCAAATGAGCCGTGTGTCTTAGCAACATTACAGTACTGAAGAAGAAATAGTGCACATATAATACACTTAGTAGTGGAAATAATCATCCTCATTGTACCATATTACATTATGCGTAAGTACAGAGATTACAAGGTAGATATTCCTTCAAGTTTGTTACTGATATGTGTAAGCGTCAGCCTGAAACTGATTGCAAATTACACACTGAATACAGTAAGTTTGTGGGGGCTCAATTTTGCAGTTGAAAGGAAAGGTGGCATTTGCTATAATACAGTATTATGTTTAGAGTTCACAGTGGGCACACATGTACAGAGTGAGCGACTCACAGAAAATTTGTATTGTCATATTGTCTGCGATGGTATGATTTTGCGGTACCACAAAAACCAAAGACTCACGAATATTCATAGCATTTACGGTAGGCACTGTGGCACGTTCTCCCCTTTGGCACATCAGGTTGGTGGTATTTAAATGCAGTTTTGCCCGAAGCAAGTGTTTTTGTTCGGATAGTTCCAGGGTCAATCCCCAGTGTCTGGTCAAACGTGATGCCGCCACGCTACATTTTTCGTGTCATACATCCCATAAATTATCTACACACCCTTTCTTGGATTTTAAAGAAAATCCCTTGTCTTTTGCAAAACACCTTAGAGAATTATTTTATAGCAGTTATAGCAACAAAGCTACAAGAATAAAAGTAATACACCTCTGTGAGGAAAACTTTTATAAACCATGACAAGCAGGGAAGAGAATGAAAGATTTAGATAGGCACTGACTGAAGCATACAATGTAGATTGACCAAGGTGAGGTCATGGCTGGTCGTTAAATGCTTTTTAAGCACCTGGCATAAGTTGCTTCAACTTACAATCAGATTCAGAACTCCACAAAAACTTTTTATGATGATGAGGAAGCATTACGGTCACTGAAGACTTTTTGTTGCATTGAAATGAGTGAGAAATAATGTCGATTTAATGAGCAATAACTGAGCTTAATGGCCTTTTAATAGCACATGTCATGGACATACATGCACATGTATGTATGTCATTTCAACATGTCTGTGAAATCGGGAAACAGAATGCATACAGTACCTTTCTTTCTTTCTTTCTTTCTTTCTTTCTTCTCATAACTATATCAAGAAATTCTGCAAAAGGTCCTGACTCAAGTGTTCAAATGGAGGTAGAATTGGATACATTGTTTTAAAAAAGACAGCATTTCATAACAATGCTAGATTGTACTACATGTACTGTGATGTACACGACATTGTGTTGAGAGACATACCAAGATCTGATTTCAGGACGGAGTCAATTGCTAGCTCAATTTTACACAACATTTGCTCAAAACCTGTTCACTCAACAAATTTGTGAAGAACAATCCCTGTGGACATGCAAGGTTAAGAGACAACCATAGGCTACAGTGAACCCAATGTCTGAAACAGTCTACCACCAGACACACACACGCACAGCCCTAACTCTGGCTTCCTTTAACTTTTAAGAGACTCTTTAAAAGACAGAAATCAGAAATGACAAAAACCAACAGATACGAACCATATGCCAGCGCTCACTCTTATGTACATATGTATGTATTTTGTACCAAGTATGTGTAATAATATGTGTATGGATTCATTAAGACTTTACATGACGTAAAGTATATCTTTGTAATCATTATACGTTGTCTGACCATTCTCTCTTCCCTGATGACCTCCGTAAAAAGTGGCCTGCAGGCCAATTTGACCTTCCTTATATGAATAAACAAAGGTTCAAACAAAGGAATATACATTAGCGAAGGTCCTTCTGAAAGATTTAACAAATGTGATAGCTTCCAGGTATCATGAGTGCTGGAAGAGTAGCTTTTCTTTCCCTTGAGGTACAGCACAGCTCTTAGTCACGTTGCAGGTGTTACACTGCCTACAGGCATGTTGCACTGTTAAACATAGATTTTCTGGATGATATGCCAATGCCTTCCAAAGACATACAATGACAAGATGTAGCCAACATGCAGACTAAAGTATTTCACAAAAAGTCCTTCCTTTCAGACTTACTGACCACATACATTCTCATCATCATTTCAAACTTGAAGATTTTGAAGTAGCCCAAAAGCAAGCTACATGTACATGATTGTACGTGACTACGTGAGGAGTACCTGTATTTTTTGGTACCACCAATAAATACATTATGTAGATATAACTAGCCTATGACACAAAACAAGCAACCATTTTCTGTCAGCAATATCACATTTTTGCCTCACAGCTATGAGTATGCTATCGGATAGGGTGTATTCAACTAGATTTAAAGAAATTGTAGAGAAAATTGACTTGAATTTAAAATCCAGTTTAATACTACCCTGAAATCACTTTGGGTGACTTGAAACGAAAAGTCCAGGGTAAAACGTTGCCTCTGACACTGACAGATTACTGTTATCGCCTCCCCTGACTTGTTATTTGTCATACTTCAGTTAAATCCTACTTGGGAGAGAGATACAGTGTTCACGAGAGGCCTGACTGGCTAACATAACACTTTGCCCAGCCGTCTCGAGCCTCGGTTCCGCCATACATAACAGTTCAAACTATGCAGAGAATGCTGGGAAATACACGGGCTGGGCAGAGCTGTTTATACTGGATTGATTAATGCCCTCTCGGAGGGCTGTGACAGCGGGACTTGATAATCGTTACATCCTGTTTTTCTCATCGCACAACCTTGACTTTGAGAGGTTTGAACTTCGCTTTGTTCAAATATGCAAGAAAGGCTGGACCCGAAACCTTCATAATGATAAAAAAGGAACAAAATGTCTGTATAGGATATAAATGGGGAAGTTCAAAATTAGCTTTCAGTTTCCTGTCAAACATAATTATATCTTTATGTTTACGGAATATTGAAATATTGTTTTTGCTCTGTTTCCTCTTCTTCTTCTCCAAACTAATAATTTAAAAACATGTTTGCTTCATGTATAGGAATCTGATATATAAAAGCAACCAGCTACTAAAGATAATATGATGTTTCAAAAATGGTATGTAAAAGTTAACTGTGCATTCAGGAATAACAAAGTTGAAAATCAGGGATTTCAAATACTTGCCTGGAAATTTGGAAAATGACATTCCAAAATTAAAGTGTATAAACTATAATTGATCAATTGACAAGTTGTGCTTAATCTTATTTACACTCAGTCTGTTAATTCATAAAAGGAACATATGAACTGTTACAGTTGATATCATTTGCTCAAAGTTTTGAAATAAATCACAATATTTGAAAACAATGTTTCTTAGATACCAGCACTCAGGAACACCCTGACCCTAACCCTAACCCTAACCATAACCCTAACCCTAACCCTGCAAAACTGGTGTGTTACGCCAAAGGGCAGTTCTACCAGCATTACAGACACAGACTTACCTGTCCAAGCTGGTAGGTTAGTCTGTGAAGACTCCTGGTCTCTGCTCTCTGCTTGGATGCCAGACTCCTGGGTCTGAATCATCTGCTGACCAACTTGCTGCTGTTGATCTGACTGAATCTGAGACTGGTGAAGCTGCTGCTTTTGTTGCTGCTGCTGCTGTTCTGAAGGCTGCTGATTCGACAAAAACACCCAGTTCCAAATAAGTACATGTACCAGTGCCACAACCTCACAGGTTAAGACCGAGAGCAACTTTTGTGCTTACATGGACAACATTATATAGATGCCGTTACATACCGGTAGTAGTTATGCGAAATGCCCATGTTTTAACTGGTCAAGCCATCTTGACACTGAAAACACGGCAGTTACGCAATATAAAACTTTTAACGAATAAGGCGGCCAAAACTATTGGCATGTGTCCTTTGAACAGATTTTTCTTGGAAACTCATCTTTTCCTCAAATTATATTTCATTTGCAGTGGTTCAGCCAGCCTGAAATTTTTCTGTCATCTTAATTCTGTTTGACGTGATATTATTTTGACCCCCCAAAAATTTTAAAATCTTGACCCTCGGAAACACTATTTCCCGCATTTTGAGGGACAAATTTTGCTGGTATACTAAGCTGCTTTACATCTCTTTCCTTTTCTTTAAGATGACACACTGGACCAAATTTTTGTCCTTCATGAGTGGTAAAATTCTGTCAAAAGATGGAAATACAATACGCTTGAACAGTGACATTTTTTTACGGTTTTCCAAAGACATGCAGATCCCATACCTCTTGTTGTTGTTGGGATTGTTGTTGGAGCTGTTGGGAGGTTTGCTGCTGTTGTTGTTGTTGGAGCTGTTGTTGCATCTTGTTGTGTTCCCCCTCCTGTTTCCTTTTCTCGTCCTCCTGTTGGATGTTGAGTCGGTACTTGGAGGCCTTGATCTGAGCGACGCGGTCTCGGATGGACCTGGTCACCGCCATGCGGTCTTCCTCGTGGAGAAACCCTGACTTTACCTGAGCAAAATTTTTTTAAAAGATTAAAAAAACATCTGGGGGTATTTGGCCATTCTACTTCCGTACCAACTTTTAGGTCATTTGGCCCAAAAATGAAGAAATTGAACCCATTTAAAGAATTGGCAGGAGGAGAAGAAGAAGAAACAGTTTAATATGACTTAAAGTCTTTTCCTTGATTTCTACAGGTAAACTGTGTGAATGTCCATCTTGACACTTTTAAGTGTTCCTTCTATCTAAATGACATTCTCTTTTCTAGCCTCTACCAGGCTTCAAGAGTTACTGCAAAGAAATTGGCCAAGTGAAGTGTCTCATATTTTAATTGCTGAGAAACTTAACCATGATGGAACTGATACAAACAACCCAAGCTGATGTCCATCTTTACAACCAATTACTGAGAATATTCACTAGTTTCTTATTTTCTTCAAAACACCTGTTGACAGCAAAGCATGTGAGAAGGACACTGAAAAGAAAATTCTCACCATTTCTGCTGCCACGTCTTCCGGCTTGTCCTTCTGTACGTCGAAGCTGAACTCAATGGCTTCGTCGTCCTTGTGCTTGTCCCTCCTCCTCTTGGGGTCCTCCACTCGCAGGCGCAGCTGGTAGTTGGAGTCCGACTGCTCGCCCGCGGGGACAGCCAACTCCACGTACATCCCCGTGGACTCATCGAAGAACTCATGCTGTAACAACTCCTTGATGGTAAACCTGCAAGCAGATAGAAATAGTATTACTAGAGTACACTTGTTGAAGTTATGTACACCAGACAAGCTATTTGGAATATTTGGATTATTTGTATCGCGTGAGCTTACTAACACCTTTTAACCATTCTACTCGTAATTTTCAACTGTTGTGGTATAGGTAGTAGTATGTGCAATTATTGTGGTCTATGTAGTCTTCCTAATGATTCTGTATTTTAGCTTCAATATTTGCAGTAGTATAAAACTTTTGGATTTTTAAAATGAAATGTACATTGAGTTGTAATTCAGTAACTTATACTTTAAGTTTACTGCGAATGATCAATAAATAATTCTTGAGTCTTATTTGAACTGCTTATTTGTGACAAGAAAGTATGTACAATATTTGTGTGATTTTTTTATTTTTGTGATTTCTGTGACTCGTGCTGTAACAACTCCTTGATGCTAAACCTGCGATTAGTAAGAAACATTAGTGCACCTGTTTGGTAGTGCTATGAACTACATGTACTTAATTGTGACAAGAAAGACTGTACCTTTCTTCCTTCCTCTGTCGAGTGCCGCCATCAATGATCTCACGCAGCATTGGGGACTCTAGTTTTTGAAAACTCTCCGGCCGCACACCCTGTGAGGAAACACATTATACAATTTCAGCACAACTATTGAAAAAAGACTGTGCTTGTCTATTCTAAGGATTAGAAATACTTTTTTCCTCAGGTTGCCCACTGCAACAGAAAATATTACTTGCGTGGCGAAAGTGGGTATTTTGAACCCTGGAGAATGTAACGACAAAGCTTTAAGATTTAAACTGTAAGATATAGACGGTTCTATTTACCACCAAACATTATGACAAAGGCATGTACTACTCACACTTGTGACCCTCCTGTAGATCTGGGCAGCGTTCTGGCACTCAGAGTAAGGGTACTCTGATGTAGCCATCTCCAGCAGGCACATTCCGAAGGCATACACGTCCACACTCTCATCATAGTGTTCCTCGTACATCTCAGGAGCCATGAACTCTGGAGTACCTGTAGATACGTGATGAAGACACAAACTTAGCAGAAATGCATGGTAAAATCATAGCCTTGGAAGTGAAAAAAAAGTACTAGAGAGTACTGTAAGCACCAACACCAAACAGTTTTTGAGGGTTCTAGATACCTTTCCATAACTAATGTCTAAACCTTCCAATTGTTTTATGAAATATAATATTTATTTCTTTATACATTTCTGTTTTCATTAGTCTGGGTAGCCCACTCAGTGCTTTTAACCAACCAAGGATTGAGGTGTTCAAAAACTGTTTTTCCAAAGGGCAGTTATACCAGCTATACAGATACAGAAGCTTAGCATGAAAGTTCATCTGTGTTGGAACAAGTCATTATGAAATAAAGACTAAACTTTAACGTCCAACACTAGCTAACAAAGTATTGGGACTTACCCAAAATTTTCGGTTGACTGCATCAACCAGATACAGAAGCTGGTGTGCTACACTGTCAAATGGCGGTTACACCGACTAAGCAAAAACAGAACATGCGAAGCACCTTTCCATTTAGATGGTCTACTACACACTCACCAATCACACTCTTAACGAAGGACTTGTTCTTGAGGGTGGCGAGCCCCAGGTCTCCGATCTTGACGGAGCCCGTGGTGCCGGTGATGAAGATGTTGTCACACTTGAGGTCGCGGTGGATGACTGGCGGGGAGCGCGTGTGCAGGAAGTGTAGACCCTTCAGGATCTGGCGGCACCAGCTCTTCATGATCTTAGGTTTGATGGTCTTGAACCTCTTCAGATACCTGAGGTGGGGAGAACATGTGGATTAGGTAGTACTTATCAAGTTGAAGATAGAACAAGCTATGTTTAAGCTTTCAAGATAAGCAAGAAATAGTTAGAAAAAGTAATGCTTGATAGGGCTATGTGGAGGGAAATCTGTACTAGCTTGGTCCCGGCTGTTACATACCGATAGATGATGATGATGTTTTTGTTCCTCTGTAAACATATTTCATATAGAATCAGCCAAGAGAAAGAAAACTGTTGTAATGAAAGCGTAACTGGGCTCCAGACTAAATTTTTTTTTTACGTAGGAGCACTGATGTTAAAGAAAACAGCAAAAATCTACTTGCACCAATATTATTTGTACTTAAGATAGATCATCGTATTGAATGTTGGACATTGCACAAATATTGTGTTTTTTTTGTACATAGAAACATGAAAAGCAGCAGTATCATGTTGATAATCAGAGAGCAAATACACAGTCAAGATATGACTGTTAAACGCTTTGCAGTCCATGATATTGACATCATATGTGTAGTGCATGAAAGTTTTGATGGGATTGCTTTACAAAAAATAAGGTCTGCTTTCTTCAGTGCAGAAGTGAAAACACCAAGAAAGCTCACGTCTTCAGAGTTCCGGATGTCATCAGCTCGGTGACCAGCACGATGAACTTCTTGTTCTTGCCCGTGACCTCCCAGTAGTCGAAGAAGCGCACGATGTTGGGATGCTGCAGGTCCTTCAGCAGCTCAGCCTCCTCACGGAACCTCTGTCGCTCGGTCTTGTTCAACTTGCTGTTCTGTAGTAGGGAATTATAAAGGAACAACCGTCTTAGTATTGAAATTAGTTTAAATACTAAAAACTTGGTTATTTCCTATCATCATCATCAACATCATCAAATGGTTTATTTAAAAAAAACAACAACTTGTAGCTATTGGCTAACTTGTGTCTTGTTGTACAATTTGCGTTACCGACTTATTAAATTAATATACATTTATATGGCAGTACAAAATTAAATTAATGTTATTTGATAAAAACATAACATGATTACACATTATTATACAGTTTGACATTAATATAGGCTTGTGGTCAGCTTGCTGAACTTTCTTTAACTCTTACAAGGTTAAGCAGTTATGTGATGCTTTACAGATTACTGTATATCTTTCTATATCTTTCCTATGATGCAAAATTAAGATGCGTTTGTTCATAACTGCTACGTTGTTAATATGTGATTCAGAACATAATAACTACATGTATGACACTATGACATCATTCAAACACTGGACAACCTCATGTTTATAGAGAAGAAAGACTATGTCAAGTCTTGGAGAGAATACTCAACACACTTTGCTGAACAACAGATACAACTTCTGATCAAAGTAATATTATGAGTATGCTTATCCCAAACAGGCACCTATCTGTACACAAGTGTAACGTTAGATGAGACTATCAGAACAGGCTATAGATAACTGACTGTCCGATGATGACTTCCAGGGCAGACATGTTTTGCATCGCCAGCCATTTTAACTTAAACCATCGAATCTCTGACCCCATTCCAGGTAGTGACTGACAATATCCTTCTTCTAAACAGCAGCTGGACTGAGGAAAGCTCTTGGGAGGTCTGTATTTAGACAGGACAATGCCTGGGACAAATAACAACTTATGGTCCCATATTGAGGGTCATGTTTTAAAGGCACCCAAAGGGACTTCAGGGCAGTAAAATTGGATTTTCAGTCAATTTTGGGGTCATTTTTTTTATCACGTAGTCAGTTGAGTCAACCTTATCCCATAGCATACTGACATCTGTTAGTAGACAAAAATACAATATTGCTAACAGAAAATGGTTGCTTGTTTCATATCATAGGCTGATTCTAGCTATTCACTGATGGTACAAAAAAAATGAAGGGACTCATCGTGTAGCTTGTTCTGGGGCTATTTCAAATGCTTCAAGTATGAAATGATGATGAAAATGTGTTAAGAAATAGCAATATCAGACAGATTTCTGCATACAGAATATTCTTTTGTATTGACTATTGCCACCATGAAATTGCATTGGATGCCTCCAAGGTACATAATTCTCCAGTCTACCTTGAGTTCAATGACCCTAGTTGTGTCCCAGTAAGATCTACCTGATAAGGAAAGGGACTATATTTATTATTTAGAAATGTGAATCACGAAGGAGTCCTGAACATTTCAAGTATCTAGCAGAAGTATCCAGATCTTATATCTGGGTCAGTATGCTCAGAAACAGTAGTCTGTGTCACGCAACACAAATATTTCTTTTCCACACTTCAGTAAAACTGGCCTAATAATAGTACTGTTCTTTATTTTCGTAGTTTACGCAGGTGATTCTGTAAGGCTTACAGGCTGTACGTGTGGTCCGATACAGATCTGTGAAAAAGTTTGGCAAATTGCGGAATACTGTATTCCTGATTTTTTTCACTGTACTTTTGTTTTTCACAGTCACTTCTGTACCGTGAACTTATTAGTACCTTTATCAAATCATTTGACTTTTGCCCCTCCCTGCACTTGCCCACCATGAAGATTAAGTCCCAAGAAATTTTCCTCATACTGTGAAATTTTACTACCATGAAACAAATTGTTGGTAGTTTGTAAAAAGAAGCTACTTGAAAAGATGTTCAAGACCTGCTAGTAAACTGTTTACTTCAACAGTAACGTCCCTTAGTAAAAGCAATTCTTTGCACGCATTCTTCCATTCTGCATAGATGATATTAGATAATATTATACATTGAAAATTACAATTTTTTTCGCGATACTTTTATATTCAAAGTTTTTGCTGTGACTTCTGTACGCTGAACTTATCATTAAAAGAAAAAATTTGCCGACTTTCTTTTTGCTGCACCTGCCGCAAATATATACTTCTGCAAAGATGTCAATTCTTGGCACACTTTCGTTAACGCGAATATGTGATTTACAGAATACACATTTGATTTGCTTGCTTACATGTAAATCTTGTTGCCAGTGAATATTTGGAGAACCCAATTCTAAGAAACTGGGCTGCAAGACTTATAAGCATTCGGCACGTGCATGACAGTTAGGTCAGACAAAGTGGAGGCTTACAATGCAAAGTGATGGCTTACTCCAAAGTGGCAAGGATTAGAGGACACACATTGAAGAGACAATTCATATTCTGTGCACATCCTACACCATGGACATAGATAATGTTAATTACATACAACGTACTATAATTTTAGCAGACTTTTCACATTGTATTTGTAATTCACAGAGACAGCTTTGGTGTCACCAATGTGCCAAGATCTGCACATTTGCCACTACCAGAACCATGCTCTTTTTCTTCATTATGTTTTAAAACAATCACAGTCTTTTAAGTTTAGAAAAAAAAAGGTTTCACCTGTACTCTATAGAAGCAGTTTTTACCATACTTTCAGAATCTTTGATAATCCAAGAATTAATTCTCAAACTGGTTCAAAGGATAACTCTTGTCTACGCTAACAACCAAAAAACATTCTGACCAGGGATACCAAAATTATCAATGATTGAAAAATATATGTTTTGGCCTCAGCAGTCACAGGAACGGATACATTGTATGTTTACAGTCTACCAGGTGGGCTTGATTTATACAATGTCTGCCACACACAAGGCCATTGCCTAAGGTAAACACAAAAAGGACCCTAAGGTGACACGTGTTAAGCCCCAGCACTTCGATAAATTATCAGTAATGACCTTGTAACACCTGGTTTTGTGGACACCAAGTGAAATAACAAGATGAATGTACTAATCTCCAAGCAGATGTTGGGTGGAACATTCTGACGTTTTCTGACTGGATGCCTTTTCTTGTATCTTACCAACAGCAGAAAAGCCTCAAAACGTCTTACAATTTCCTACCCCAAAACTTGACGTTTGAGATTAAAAATTTAAAGAATATTTTTCAAAATCTTTAAGATGTGTTTTGTTTGTGTCATACACAAATATACCTTGGTCATGGATTTACATGCGTATAAACAATAACAGAAACAGAACTATCACTTAAAACTTTGGATACTGTAAATCACAGAACCTAATTTTTTGGTACTGCGAACTTATCATTACCGTGAACAAATAACTTGTAGACTTTCTTTTTATTACACATGCCGTCACTGCGAACATATAGTTCCACAAACATTTTTCTCATGCCGTGAACTTTAGATATTGTGAACATAAAATGATTTACAGTAGTCAAAATTTTTTTCCATCTCGTGTTTGGAGCCAGCATTGGTTATAAGATTGTTCCCTTAACCGGACTGAGGTGATTTCTGTTTTTGGTCTTCCAATCTAGGACCGTGTTTGTCCTTTCGGCGGAGTATTCCGTTAGCGGGTAGGTGTTTGAAAACCATTTCTGTTTCTCCGACAAGTCCTGCTGTAGTTTATGCTAACTCAATACCGGATAAAATTAGCAGTTTGACTCACACAAAAATAGGTATTATTGAATCACTGACACTAACTCAGCTAAAAAACACATCTTAAACTTTAAACTTAAAATTAGTCAAAGCAGTTTGGAGGAAAACACCCACATGGGCATTTCAACTATTTGTTGACTTGTCAAATACAAATACACACAACTTCCCTGACCTAGTTCCAGGGAAGGCAAAATAGATTAGAGACATCTGAACCCTGTCTCAGGAGGAAGATGAAAGAGGTCATCACTCATCTTCTGACAAGTAAGCAAAGTAACAGGTAAACACAAGGAGGGGTAAACACCCAGGTCTTATTTCTAACATGTCTTATGCTTGTTTCTTCGAACTGTTGGAAAAAAAAGCAGTACGTTGTACCTCAAAACAGTTAGACCCTAAACAGTATGAAAACTGCACACACACACAAGCATACAAAGACTGCACGCGTCTAATTTTTTCTGTGTGCAAATAGCCTGCTTTGGCGTACATCTTGAACATAAATTCAGATCCTACATTACTTTACAGTAGCAAAAGTTTGTGATCTGAGAAAAATAAACATGTTCGCAGAACTATAAATTGTCACTTGTACCAGTGGGTGCAGCAAAAAGAAAGTTGGCGAATAATTTGTTTGCAGTATTTTGCAGTATAAAAGTGACCATGAAAACCACGAATATAAAAGTACTGCGAAAAAATCTTGCCTTATAGTATTATACAGTTATAGTACCTTGAGAGCTATTAGTATTATATGATCTAAACTTACATTCTTTATGTACATCAAGTGGGCTGATTTTAAAGTTTTTTGAGACGCTTGCGTGCATACGTCAGGTTTTTGCCCACGTGAAAATTAGGTCTTAGCCTAACATGCATTCCAGTTTTCTGTAACATCCTCAAACACCTGTACTACCACACACAAAGTGTTTGTCTCACTTTGTATCACTAACATCCTTCTTGGGAAAGTCAGTGACCTGTTCAGCCTAAACTGATCATGAAGATTTCTTGGAAGCGTTATGACAGAAATCTGACATTCGTGACTCACGATTTGTGAATCGTGACTGTATATCGTGACTGTGTATATGCACGGGTGCAGTCGACAGTGTACATGTGAGTAGTGCTACAGAGGTACTAGGTTGAACTTGAAGTAAGCTGCCACGCTTTCAAGTATGGCTTTGAGGCCTGATGCCAGTATTGCATTGCTCAGTGGAGGGCCCAAATGCATGGGAATTCGGCTGTAGTCCCTAGGTAATATCTTTGAAACCTTTTTTTCTCTTGAAAAATTTGGTCCAGTTTGGAGACTTTGGGGCTATAACGAACAGGTAGGGTCTAAGCTTTGGTCAATTTTTTTTTCATTTCACCATTTTAGTGGGCGTAATGAGAGACCTGAGTGATG